ATCATAAGTTGCGGCTATCTATAATAATAATGTGATATACTGTAATAAGATATACTATGTAAAATGAAACCAAATTGTATAGCTAAATAAACCTGCATAGGTTTAAATAAAGCTCTAATAAAAAAAAAAAAAAAAAATAAAAGGCCCCCCCTGTCTACGTGTGTTTTATGTATGCTGCATTATGCGCTCCTTACTTCGTTCTTCTCCTTTTTCTCATGCTGCTGCTGTGGCTCATGCGGCTGCAGTTGGTGGCTATACGTACGGAAAGTAAGTAACAAGACTAACGGTCGACGACGACGACGACGATCGCGTCTCGGGGATTTTTGCTTGCTTGCCTGCGCTCGCCGACCTAGGTAGGATATATATACGTATAGCCGCGTGCTTAACCCTGTCATACACTGGCTGGCTGGCTGGCTGGAGCTGCATCGAGGACGCGCGTGTATGGGTCGACGAACTCGAGGGACCCGCGGGCTGCCTCAATGCTGCTGCCTGCACATACACACATCGCATTTCTCATTATACCACGTTCGCGATTTCCCTTCATGCAGGCAGCTTGCGATGATATATACCTTAAACGTAACGATCATCCTGCGCGACGATGATCGTCGCGCGCGCCTGACGACTTCTCTCTTCTTCTCTCCTTCTCGATTGTCTGTGTCTGTGTGTGTGTGTGTGCGTCTGTATGTGTACGCGTGCAGAAAATGCGATGTGTGTCGTTGACCGGGAGTAACCACCTTTTGCCAAGGAGAGCCCCGCGTGCGCTGCACTCTCGCGAGCCTCACTCTCTCATTCTCTTTCTCTCGTCTATCTCTTTCTCTTTCTCTCTCTCTCTTTTACCCAAGAAACTTTATGTAGTATAAGCTAGGCAAAAGACGTAGCTGTACCTGCCGCTTATATAGCTCGCTTTCGACGAGCTTCGTGTATTCGCGTGCATACGTATACTTGTAGCTCCTTATTTAACGGCAATCGGCTAATTGCCTTTTTCTTTTCAGCCTATATATAAATGATGATAGTATTATTATCCCAGCACGCAATCGGCGTTAATCGACGCACGTTTTCATTATCAATTGCCGCTTGGTCGTGTACTTTGATTGAAATTCATGATGAAGCAAGAGTGCCCATCCATATAGTCCATAACGTACTACAATAGCATATCGAAAGATACCTATTGGCAAGTCGTCGAACGATTGGTAGAAAACGACAGCTACATCATAAAGCGAGAATTAAAAATGGGTCTTGGAAAAGCCCGCATCACATTATTTATGTATCGGCGAATCACTTCCTGGATTATGCAGTTCGCCGAGGATATCTCTTTCTCCCTCCCTCCCTCGCTGCTTATTATATAGTTAGCCGCGCAGTCGACGCAAGTATTATACATATACCTGCGTATGCTGCGCTTATGCGAATTGCCCACATATAATCCGGAGGCGCGAGAGGCAGCAGCAGCGGCACACAAGGTGAAGGTAAAATACGTTTTGCGCGCGCTATATGGGCTCGCCCCCTCCCTCCCGGCTCGCTGATGATGATCGTCACTATGTAGTCGCGCGCAAAGTAGTGCAAGCGCAAAGGTCACTAACCAGCAGCAGCTCCGATGCAGTCATGAGGCGAGTTTCTCTCTCTCTCTCTCTCTCTTTTCTCTCTCTTTCTCTTCGTGTTCCGATTATATGGCTTGGGACTACCTATGCGCTATATGTGCTGATACGTGTGCGAGTTCGGGAGAAAAGCGATCGAGCAAAAATAACTTGTTGCTGCTGGCGGATCGCATCAAGCCACACACACACTGCATCGACTTATAAGTACGCGCGTAAGTCACGTTATTATGTAAAAGTATATACGCGGACGTATATATATCGTAAACGATGATGGCGATGACGATTGAGCACGCTCAAGCGCATATTATAATGTATACATGCCAGCAGCGGGCCGATCGAAGCTGTTGCACTTTGGTTGCTGCTGCTGCTGCTGCTGCTGCGAGCCGTTAGAATCGCGGGCGCGCGGGGGTAAAAATATATATATCGTCTCTCTCTCTGGAGTTCGGATAACGGATCGCTCGCGCCGGAGCGCGCCACGGCCCTTATGGCCAATTGTTATTGTCTGCGCTTTTGTACTCGCGAGTGCGTGCAAAGTACCGAATCAGCTGGTGAGCGCGCGAGCAGCAGAAACGCCGAGAAGTCTCTGGATGCATAATTTGCGGTACGATATTGGCACACGCTCGTTTTATATCGCCCTCGCACTTCGAGGACGCGCAATAAACACCATTGAGATGCCCGACTCGAAGGCCCAAAAGCATACATACGAGGCGACATAAATATAGAAAACACATATCTATATATCTTTGCGGGCGCGCGCAAAAAAAAGGAACAACAGAGCCGTGTGCGCGCAGTTGCAGAGCCCGATCGCGGAGTCGCGCGCGCGCGAGTCTCGAGAGTTCGTTAGCCTCCTCGGAGTTCTATCACTGACCTGCTTTCGACGCTGTATACGTTTATGTTTACGGGGGCCCCGGCTAAAGCACACTCGCGAACGACGCATGGCACAGCACAGCTCGCGCGAGCCTAAACGCGCGCTATAACGTGTTACCTCAATTTCATCCGCGAGCTTCTTCCTGTATTATATGTCAAAAGACGAATGCACCTTTTCGATGGGTTTTCTTTATTTTGCGTTCGAACATTCTAGTCGCTGTTTTCATTTATTTTTTTGTCATGTCGAAACGATCGAACGTCACAAACAAGAAAAAAACGATTACGTGAAAAGTCACGTGCAAAGTGGGCCGCGAAGTCAATAAGTTTCGCTATAATCATGTATGCTTTACGCAGCTCCCAAATAAACCACGACTCACGAGTATACGCCAGAATTATCGATTAAAAAATCCTCATCTGCATCGCAGAGAGTTCCGGCAGTTTGTGTATACTCTACATAAGCACCCGTATATAATAATACGTTATGTACGTTTTTCATGAAAACTTTTCCGAGCCGGAGAAGTAGAGCAGAAATCGATCAATTTTGCCGCGATGGCGCTTGACATTGTTTTGTTATGTGCAGCTATATACCGCCTCCTTCATTTTCGCTCGAACATGCATTAACTTTGATATCATTAAGGATGGAATAAAAAAAGAAGAGGGAGAGAGAAAGAGGAGACAGTGAAGCACGCGCAAAAGAGAAAGAAGCGCAGAAACGAAGAAGAGAGCTCGCTGCTGCAGCGAGCCGCGCGAAGAGAGGTGCAAGGCAACATCGCGATATATCGGGATGGAGAAAGGGAAAGGCAAATACCGTGAACGGCGCTGAAACGGAAAGAGAGTACGAAGAGCCGTGTATATACGTACGAAAGACGCGATAATCACGATCATCGTCGTCGTCGTCGTCATGGGCTGCATGTGGGCAACATCGCGGAAGAGGTAATCACCTCTCGCGCATTTATATATATAAAAGTATATCTATAGCTGAAGAGCGAAAAAGGACGAGAACGCACAGAAGGAAGAGAGAGAGAGAAAGAGAAAGATACGTGCTATGCGTTATATTATATACGCAGCGCAGGCCGCAAGAGTCAACGAACGCGGCAAACTCTCGAGGCGCGCGCGAAACTCGACGAAAAATATGATCGGCGAAGAAGAATAAGAGAGTAAAAAGAAAGGAAATAAATGCGATTGCCCTCCAGGATCCTCAGCGATTATTTTAGCGATCGGTAGAGAGCACGATGACGGATATAGAAATTGATATTATTACAACGACGACTATTTTTTTTTTTTATAGTCGATACTCCGTATCGTATGCAGGCCGATAAGGATCCTCGAAAGCATATTATACCGGTATACGCAACAAAATATCGGGACTGTGCAAAGTAAATGTGTCCGCGCGCGTAATGCCTTTTGTTAAGTTGCAATGCATAATACGACGCTCCGTATTATGTATATAGCCGCGCATGCTATGTGGGACCGTATAGGTACTCTTACATAGTACGTGGGTATGAGCCGGGGCAAGGTCATTAACACTGCCGCGGCGGCGCACACTCTTGTATGTGTCTGTATGTGTGTGTGGAGGCTGATGGTTCGAGCCACGGCACGGCGGTGGAGATCGGAGAAGGCAAAACGAAAAAGGCAATTGCGAGTACCGTTTGCTGGCGGTGGCGATGTTTGTGTAAGTGTGTGTGTGTGTGTGTGCGCCCGCAGACCTGCTGCTGTTGCTGTTGTAGCCGCGCGGCCACCGTCACTGCACACACTCACACACACACAGCACAGCAGCGCACAGAGAGAGAGAGAACAGAACGCGGAGAACACACAGAGGGGAGAACGAAAGAGAATCAACGAATGAGCAGAGAAACTACTCCGTCCATTGCTCCCACTTTTCCCTCCGCTGTATATCGCCTCGCGCGCACCTTTACTTACCTATGCCGTGTATACACTGTACGCGCTATACGTGTGTAAGTGTATGTACCCCCGGTGCTGTATAGAATATACCCAGGCAAACCAAACTCACGCACACAGACATACACACGTACACACCATGAGGATATGCTTTTGCTCCTCGTGCGCTCCTCTCGGGATGCCTCGCTTTCCTGTTGTGTTTCAGTTTCGCACACGCGTTTAAAACGACAACACAGTGGTGTTTCGCTGTGCTGGATAATATATAGTAGCATGCGCGCTTATACTTTCATCCGTATATCCGTATTGTATTAGATACAGATATATCGTCGTACCGATGTGTGCATTCGAGTGACTGACGATCGATCGACGAACGAAGTTGATTGACACGATCGAGATAGATTTTGTGCGATTGTTTGGTTGGTTTTTTCCAAAAAAAAAAATTAATAAATAATTTTTTGTGACACACAAGTGTGAGGTGTATCGTAATAGAGAACCGCCGAAGCGGTATGAGCTAAAGGACTGCAAGTGCAGCGAGACAATACACTCCTCTACGCTACCGATCGCTCGTACGCGTTTTTTAAGACCGTCTGAGTACCGATCAACCTCGATAATCATGAATCTAAAAATCGATCCAGATATGCCCTGAAGATCGCCCAACCGGCTAAGAGAGAGAAGAAGAAGAGTGAAGATAACGATTTTCCCGAAAATCGGCAAAAGAGGTAAGCTTGATGCACGTTTTATTTGTTTTATCGCTCATTCAACCTCATTCAACTTCCCTCGTATCGAGCTTTTGATTAATTTAATTACATTGGCAACACGCAAAAATAAACAACAAAATCATATCACCAAAAACGAATGGGTAATGACGTATCGTTAATTAATCCCTGTTTCCGACTGGTTATCGAAAATTATGTATTCTAATTGCATGACAAACGATCCTAAATTGTTTTTCACTCGTGTTTCGAGCTTGCTCTGCTTTATCTTGCCAAATTGAAAGAAAACGATTAGCATATTTAAAAACCACTCGCGCATACCCACGGCATGTAGTATAGACACACACACTCATACAGACCGCTTTGAGTTACACAATCGTCCACTTCTTAGTATTTCTCTCATTCTCTTTCCATTCTCTTTCTGTTCTCTCTTTCGCTCGAGTGTTAAGGTCGAAAAAGGACATTGACCTTGAAGTGTGAGACGCTCAGAGATCATTGCTCTCTCTCTCTCTCTCTCTCTTCCTCTCTTTCTCGCGCGCTCCTTCGCGATCTCTTTCGCTGACTTGCTACCACTATAGATACTGCTGCTGTTGGAGGTGGTGAGGTGAAGGATGTGGTGCTGCTACTGAGCTGCTATTTGTAGACCGATTGATTTACGATTTGTTAAAAAAAAAAACAATCAATTTTTAAGTATTGTATTTTTGTAAATAATAAAAAATAAGTCAATGTAAAAACCATAGAATATTGTAACCAGAGATTACGTCAATTCACAAATATGATTCACGTAAAGTTAGTCATGTACTCGTATACGCGATCCCGCATCATTGTCCTGTAATCTAAAGGCTCTCAAGGTATTACGCATAAAAACGCATCGAGAAGGTTAACGCGAAAGAATTTCGTTTTTATCAGCAAGCGCATACATATACAGTAATGCGTACAAATATAAATATAGGTATGCGCACCCAGTATAGAGCATTTATAAGCGATCGTTTCTTGACCGTTTCGCAGCAGGTCTTCGTCCTCGCTGCCTTCGTCCTCCTGCCTCGTCGTCGTCGTCGTCTTCGTCGTCGTCCTCCTCCTTTTCAGTCTCTCTCTTTCTCCTCGCGTTCTCGGCTCGTTTTCTCTCTCTCTCTCTCTCTCTTGCTCTTTCTATACTCCTCGGCACTGGCCGCCACTCGCGCGAGTTCTCGTCGACTCTCCCTCTCTTTGTACATTCGCTCCGTTCGCCCGAGGTCCATGAACTCGAGCTTTACTTATACTCTCTATTCTCTTTATTCCTGGTGCACAGCCAGGCTCTTTCTCTCTCTCTCTCTCTCTTTCTCTCTATCCCTCGTATTCGTCGCGTTCCTTTCGACCGCGTATAGATATACACATCATGCGCGGCGTGAGCTGCAATATATATAATAACAACCGTTAAACGAATTGTCCTTTTCGACTTCTCTCTCTCTCTCTCTCTCTCTCTCTCTCTCTCTCTCTCTCTCTCTCTCTCTCTCTCTCTCTCTCTTTCTCTTTTTATCACCCACCTCTGCCGACGAGCAGTGCATATAACTATATATACGTCTACTACACAAATACGTGCTATATACATAACGGTTCCAGCGTCGAATCTATTCAGCCTATAAGCGCGCGCATGTATACAAAAGTACAATTCGCGCGCGCGAGCTCCGTTATACTTCCGCTTTTCGCTCTCCTTTGCCGATCTTTTTCTGCGTCTGCGGCTCCGCGCGCGCATTTGAATACCTACTATACGTATAAACCGATCGGATCGCGTCGAATCGAACGCGTAAGCGACGTGCGGGTTTGTAAATGTCACGATCTGCGTGACATGCGAGCGTAACATCTCTATGTACGTTGAGGATGTTAATTCGTGAACTCGCCATATACGTGACGCAACGACGATCGTTCCCATGAGCCCGCGACTATTATTTAACGGTCAAGTTCAGCCACGCGCGCTTTTGTAAAATTACGCAATTGCTCGTCGAAAAGGAATAAAAACAAATTTGCCCATTCATTCGATACCGGTTAAAACTATTACACATTATAATATATAATGCTCAAACGATCGCCCAGTGTCCAAACGTGTTTTTCACACAGGTACGCAGAATTTCAGCAATTTATGATCATTTCGATGCTAGAACTATTCATGATTAGTTCATTATTAATCTTGCACAACTTTTTTCTCTCCAACCGTCAAAGAATCGCTCAAAATATATATCGTGCGTTGGCGACGCACAGATCGGCTCGGAGCTCCGCACATAGATGCACACCTTACACGCATGCATATATATGCGTTCGTCATACGAGCCGTATATGCGTACGCGAGTAAGTTTGCGGAGCTGCAACACCGCACCGAGTGACATAACGGTACATACACATTGGCCTGTGCGACTCGTATACATACATACATACATATATCGCGTATATGAACGTACACACACACACACACACTCTCATGACATGTGCACCGCGCGCGCGAGAATGAAGGAACGAACGAGCGGAGCAAAAGGTGTTCGGGGGAGTTGGCGAGTTATTGGAGCGGTCGTTGCACTCTCTTCTTGCCTTTTATACACACATACTTACGAACGTGTATGATATTCTTATGTATCGGTGCATACACACACACACACACATACGTACGTACACACTTTCATGGGATCGCGGCCTCGTGCAGTACTGCACACACACTCGACTCGCATGTACCGTTGCTTCGGCCTTTCCTAGACTTCATGTGCTACTAAAATCAATTGCTACGTACCATGCATGCAGCTGCTATATAGATATATATATATATACGCGGAGACTCGAATAAAGCCCGAGAAAAAGAGAGAGGCGTTAGATAAACGCGGACAAGCGCAAGACAGAGAAGAGAGTATACGAACGTTTACGCGTATCGATGCTTATGAGAAAAAAAAAAATACGTCGATCTCGAAAGGATGACTCCTTTTTTCATTTTATTCATCCGCGATCGCATGGAAATTCGCCCTCGCGAGCATCATTATTATCACGATCGCGACGACGGCAGCGGCGGTGGAATGCAGCGATTCAGAAAAAACGCCCCCGAAGTGAGAGCGCCTGATTATATCCGCATGTATATAAGAAAATGAAGAAGAAGAGAGGACGAAGAGGACGAAAAAGAGGAATCGAAACGTCGGCAGCGCCATCGGCACAAGATGCGCAAGTAACAGCGAGAGCTGCATGTACGTACATGAATGCGCGACAAGAGAAGAGAGAAGCTGACGAGAAAGAGAAAGAGAAAAAAGGAGGAAGGAGCTGCATACGAGAGAGAAAGAGAGAGAAAGAGCGAGGAGAAAGGAATGAATCGAGGAAAAAGAGGAGCTGCTGCCACAATAGCTAGCTGTGCCGTGTACGGCAGGAGCTGCACATCACACACACACATACACGAGACTGCAGAATATAAGCGGAGTCGGGTGCAACGACCGTTCTACATTGACGCGCGCCGCGCTAGAGCTCATGCTGCTGCTGCTACTGCCATGGCCGTGCGCGTATGCGCTACATGCCTTAGCGAGCGTAATATAAGTACACGCGCGTTGATAGCGAGTAGAGAATTATAAAGTCACGGCCGCGTGACTCTCGATCGTCATGCGGGGGCGCCTCGTCACTATCCGTATGGCGCAGAGTTAGAAAAATATAAAATACGATCGGTACCGATCGGAAAATCGGCATCTAGCTCCGAATCTGCAGTTATGGCACTGCGCTCGGAAGAATTCCTTATTTCTGCATAGCTGCCAGTAGATTTATTTATATTGCTTGCGCCACAAACGCGGACACTCGAATATATTTCAAGGCCAATTTTACCGAGCGATATGCGGTAGCTATTACTGTACATAACTGCAGCGCGCTACGTCCTAATTTCGTCTATGCAGCGATATAGTATATAATGAGCCGCAGCCTAATTCTTTCTCTCTATGCTTCGCATCGTTTATAAGCTAATATTTGACGACGCGTCGAGCTCGAAGAAGGAGTCGCGCGTCAAGATGTGATATTCGACGTCGCAAATACTTTACTACTAATGGCACCGCGCGATGCAGGTCAAACCGTATAGAGAGATGGCGAGAGATACTTCCTAATAATAATAACGCATCGGAGCGCGCGCGCGGGGGCAAGTCATTATATAAGGCGAAAGGCCGCCTACTATTCGTACGAGTCGTGTTTGCACTATATACAGGTATATGGAATACACGCGAGTTGGCCGCTTACGAAAGCCGCTGCTGCTGCAGAGTTCGTTCGCGCGCGCGCGCTGCCGACATTGACATTGAGTAAGCAATATATAGGTAGACGCTGAGCTCGCGAGAGCGGCCGAGAAAGAGCGAGAACGACCGACGAGAGAGCGCGCGGACGCGAGGAGATGAACTGCAACGAGCGAGAGAAGGCGGAAGCGACGTCGAGTCGATCCATTACCTACTTGGAATTACGCGCGCGAGCCCCGTGAGTGAGCTATAGGCTCGTCGTCGTCGTCGTCGTCAACGGCGTCGCTTCGAGGTCGAAAAATTGCACTCTCGAGCGCCGCCTCCTCCTGCGAGTTGCTCCGTGCCCCGGCCGCGCTGGGTCAACGAACTCGTCCCGATGTATCAGAGAGCACAGTAACAGTTCTTCGACTCGAGCTCCGCTTATACACATTTTCATATATATATATGCTATGTACCGCAGAGCTTTCGCCCCAGCAGCTCGAGCTGCGACTGCTTACATACATACATACATAAATGCAAGAGTATATAGTACAGTTAGGCCGTGCCGTAGCACATATGATGCACGCGCAGCGCGAGCGTGCGAGAAGGTGCGAGAGAGGCAATATTATTATATATATAAATGAACGAGTCGCGCACACGAGCCGATCGAGCAACGACCTCATTCGCGTAACGCGAATGCACCGACCGAGGCAGCGGCAGTACAAGTAGCACAATGACCCAAGATGCACGCGGGGCCCCAAGGCGCCTATACGTACATATATCTATATACGTCGACGAACGTGTAGCATTATATATCCCCATGCACAGCAGAGGGAAAAACGAGGCCAAGCGAATTTTCCTCGGCCGCAGAGCGCGAGAGCAGCAGCAACAGCTTGCTCCGGAGTTTCTCCAAGTAATAGTAGTATAGATAGTAATAGTCAAGGAAAGAGAATCGCGGAAGGAGCTCGTTTCGTTTCGTTTCGTACACCTCGACTATATACGTGTGTGCAGTAGCGGGATCAACGACACCGCGGATCGAGGCTGCAGCGCGAGCAACGTCGACGACGACGCCGCAGCCGATCGCCACCGCTGCACACTTTTTCTCCGCGATGCCAACGACCTCGCGAATCTGGGTTAGTAGTTGCTTAGACTTTGCTTATGTGCGCGCGCGCGCGCCTGCCTGAGAGCAAAACATTCTCTCGTAACGAGCGAGCCGCTAGCTGTGCTAGCTCTAAAACCTCTTGTGTGAGTGCAGCTCTACTGCTGTATGCGCAGCAACGGTCTGTATGATATAGCATCCCTACCACTTGGTGCGCCACGGGCAACCCCATTACGTTCGGGCTATCGAAATCGCTCGAGCTCCATAGGATTTGGCTGTTCGGCTCGACGGTTCAACTGCTTATTCTTCTTGATTTTCGTTGACGACCTTTGCTAATGCCTAGCGACTGGCAACGACTGCTCGATCGCGACGACCAAGCCGCACTGAGTTGCTCGTTCCAGTGGTACGAGTCAACGTCCGTCGCGGCGCTCCGAGTTCGCGAGGGAGGGTCGTTGCGCTTGCGCGCCCAGCAGAGCCCTTTATACGGCGTTGTAGTACCAGAGCGATACTCGGTACTTTTTATACCTAGGGAAACTAGCAGGGAGGGCGCTTGCGCGATTCGTGCGCAGCTCACTCTCGCTCGCGGTGCACAGAGAGCTTTTCAGCCTCCGTCTCGGCGCTAGCAGTCAGGCTGGCAGTCAGGCCCGTATAACGTAAAGCCACAACACAAAGTGACTGACTGTCCGTGCGTTAAAAGAGAGGAGCGACCGACGAACGTGCGAGAGCTCGAGCGCGAGTATACAAGAGCGGCCAGTCCGAAGCCAGAACGGAGCGCAACAACGACACTCGGGGCTCGCGAATGCAACAAGAAAGACGTGCTTCGGCACTTTTTGATCGAGCTCTGACTTTTTCTACTCCCAATAACTTGCCGAAAGCGTTGACGACGGAGAAACGATCTCGCTCTGTTTGCCGTGTGAACTGTGTGGACCGCGCGTTAACCGTGTGCGTATGGTGTGCGAGTGATCCAAGACGCAACAACCTTGTGTGCCGTCGATGACGGCGAGCAAGAAGCAGGACTGAAACACGTTATTATTTGTTATTGAGTTGTACCGATTGCCAGCGCAATAATGTACCTAACCGACGACTCGATGCCGCAGGCGGCACTCAAGCGCTTGCTCCTCTCGAATGTTCGCCTACTGCAGTCGGTGTCGCTGCGGAATCAGAGGATCACGTAAATTTCGCGCCAGTCATCATCGTCGTATACATCTCCGCGAGTGTGTTGTTGTGAGTGCGTGTGCCGAGTACGTGAATGAGTGAAGCGTGAAATATCGTGTGTGGGGAGGCCAAGAAACTCCGCTGCAACAGCCATCATAAATATACATTATATAGGTGAGAATTCCTTTGTGACGAAACTCCAGCTCGTGTTCACCTTGAGCCCGCGGTAAAAGTAGTGGCATCCGAACATTTGCATCCTGTCCGCACATTCGCTCGTTCATTTTTCCGGGACATCGGGAAACGGGGAAAAAGTGGACAGCAGCAGCAGCAGCGCGCGACACACTCACATGCACACAAGTGACGAAGCGCACACGACGGCGCGAGCGAGCGAACGAGCGAGGCATATCGTTCCCCGAGATCGATACAGCGAGAGCGAAAGCTCTGCTGCTGCTGCTGCTGCTGGTGTACACTCTAGCTCGCGCGCGCCGAATGCCGACGACCGCTCTCGCGCGCGCGACAGAGGGGAGGGGATAGTAGAGGCAACCGACGACGACAAGGGTTTATTCACCCCAAAACTCCAGCGCGCTACTATATATGTGTATGAATACACAATACGTTATACGCCCTGAACACCACGCAACGACTCATTCGTAGATCCCCCCCGAAATCTAGTCGTCCAATTTATCCTGTAATAGTTCGAATTCGGCATATGCATTTTTTCATTTCCATCGTGCTTATTATCGCTTCTCGATAAAATCGAAACTTTCACTTGTTCATTCAGGGCTGTGCAAACGCCCATTGTTGCAAGCTCGTCGAAAAAAAAGCACGAGTTTGCGAGAAAGCGAACCTCGCTGTAGCTTCCTCGTAAGATATGATTTTTGAAAAATGCACGCCTGCGGGCGCGAAAAAAGTGTCATACATTACATACATACGTAGAAAAAGGGGGCCAAGCAAATCATATAGTAATGTCTCACCCCGCGGTCGGTCGCGCACGATCGGCTCTTTCTCTTTCTCTTTACTCCGTGCACTGCTTTTAGTCCGGGTGAGAGTGAAGGGGGCGCACGTTGGCTACACGCACACAGATATATAATAGTCACCCCACAGCCAGTATATAGCTTTAGCCGCCCGTTTTAAACGCGGAGCGCGAGGGTATGGAGCGCCGATCAATGCGCAGCAGTCGCAATTCTATCTATATACACACGTACAACGACTGCTGCTGCTGCTACTACTACTACTACTCGGGCGATCGCGAGCAACCCCCGGGTTTCACTTTCGCGCAGGAGAGAAGAGAGAAGCAAAGCGCGCGAGAGAAAGAGAGAGCGAGATCGGCTCTCGCGCGCGCTACTGCTCGCTGCTATACCCCCTCCCCACTCTCGCGCTCACTCGCAGCTCGTTCGCTCAGTCTGTATAAGCATATACCGTTATATAGCTCTGTGCGCGCCTCTCAGCTAGTCGTCGTCGTCCTCCTCCTCCTCTTCCTCTTCCTCCTCTACCTCCTCTTCGCACAGCTCGCTCGTCAACCCCCTCGCGCTCGCTCTCTCTCGGGCGAAAGCGACCCCACTGCTATACTGCTGCAGCATATACCTACATATATACTACGTACGGTAGGCGCGCACTTTCTTTTCACCCTATACCCGCCCGCATGCCCGCTCGATCGTTGCTCGCGCACAGTGAGAGAGAGAGAGGCCAATGAACTTTTCCTCGAGTCGCGAGCACACGCAGAGAGTGCACAGTGTATATGTTATGGCTTTTGCTCGGCGCTCCATGTAGTCCGAAAGGCATACCTGTAAATATTAGCACATACAAGCGTACCCATCCTACTATCTACACATTCACGCACACACATCGCAAGCAACAAACACCAAACATGGTGCAGCAACTCGTTCGCCCGCATATAAAAATACCTCTCGATGTACACCAATACTATCGGCGCTTGCGTTTTTTGACTCTATATCTTCTTTTTTTTTTTTTTTGCTTTTCAGTAGTCGAACGTCACAATGAGGTCGTCGAGCGAAAACGACTTCATGGAGCTCAGCGAAATCGAGTTCCAACAAAAGGTCAACTACATAGCGCCGGACACGCACACGGGGCCGGACGAGAAGAACCGAGCGGAGGCCTCGCTGCCGCGCAATCTCGTGCTCAAGCCGTCGCAGGAGGGCAACAATGCGCGCAACAACGTCTGCGGCGTCTGGAGCACCGATCGCATACCCAAGGGCACGCGCTTCGGCCCGCTGGTCGGACAGATACACCCCAAGGACGCGGTGCCACCCGACGCCGATCGCAAGTACTTTTGGAGGGTAAGAGTCATCTCTGCGCCAGCTTGTATTCCGTCTATATTAATTTGAAAGCGTGTATACTCAAAATTGAACTCGTTTCGGCAGATATATCAAAATAACGAGCTATGCTACTACATCGACGGCTACGACGTGCAGAAAGCCAATTGGATGCGATACGTGAATCCGGCTTACTCGACAGAATCACAAAATCTCATAGCGTGCCAGTATGAGGTAAAATTGACATTATTATTATTTTACAGACTTAATAATTACAAACATTGAAACAGTGATGATACTGATACTTACCTATTCGTGTTTTACTTACAGATGAACATTTACTTTTATACGGTGAGGGAGATCGAGCCAAATCAAGAATTGTTGGTCTGGTATTGTCGTGACTTTGCCAAGAGGCTCAACCATCCAGAGACTGGCGAGGAGATGCTTCAAAAAATATGTATGAAAGCTCAGCAATCCGCGGCGGTGGTGGATAATGTGGCTATGAGTAACGAGGCAGGCGGCAACGTGGCCGAATCGTCCTCGTCGACGTCATCGCCACCCTCGGTGATTTACGATCAGCGGCGGGCGCGACTGACACCACCGCAGGAGCGCTTAGCCGACGAGGGCTACCACTCGAATGGTTACCACGACGAGATCCTCACGCCGCCCGAGGAGAGCAGCGAGTCCGACAGCGAGTCCAATTACGTGCTGGATTTCTCGAAGAAGCACCAAAGCAAAGTCGTCGCGGCGGCGGCTACCTGCAGCACTAGCAGCAGCGTAATAGCCAGTTCGGTCACGTCGCAACAACAACAACAGCAACAACAACAGCCCGAACAACAGCAACAGCAACCACAGACCACCAGAGCGCAGCAAATCAATCATCACAATCTGCCGAAGCTGAGCTCGGTCGTGAAGCACGAGAACATGTCGCGTAACGATTACCGCAAGGTCAAGATCAAGATGTTCCGTACGTGCGGTAACTTCCAGACGGCGAGCAGCAGCACGTCGCCACCGACTCCATCAACGACGACCAGCGGAAAGGTCGTCGTGATCGAGGAGGCCAGCGAAGCGCTGAGACGCTCCCCGAGCCCGGTGGAATCAAGCAGCAGCAGGCAGAACTCGACACTGCTTCTGGCCGCGAGCTCGAGCGAGGAGGACAAGCCCATGCCGATGAGCCCCAAGCCGATGTACTACGAGGAAACCAATAAGTCGTCGCTGCGCTACGCTCCCGGCAACGCCGGAGTTTTCGAGGCTTCCAGCGAGCATCGGCAATACCAACAGCAACAACAGACCCCACCGCGTCCGGGAGCGTCGATCCTGGAGAACATACTGCTGAGAGGCTCCGACGCAGCCTCGAGCGCAGCAGCGGCGGCGGCGGCGGCCGTTTGTCCACAGCAACAGCACGTGATCGTGCAGAGCAGCAGCCAAGTCCAGCCACCGCAGGTCGACTCGGTCACACCGTCGCCGTCCAGCCCCACGGAGATGGCCTACTCGTACAAGAAGTCGCATCGTTACAGCAACATACTGCCCTGCTCGCCGGACTCGAGCAGCTCGAGCCAAGCTCAGTCGACCCAGGGCCCGCCCCAACAGCACCACCAGCACCAGATGCCAGCGCAGGTGTCGACCCAGCAGCAACAGCAGCACCCACAACAACTGCAGCAGCAGCAACAACTGCCGCAACAGCAACCGGTGATCAACGAAGTGCCGAGCAGTACGAGCGGAAACTCGCCGAGCTCGAGCGGTCAGGTCTTGTTGCAACTGACGAGGTCGGCCAGTCCGGGCTTGGCCCACTCGACCGAGGCCAAGTTCGCTCGTATGGACGACAGTCCACCGCCGCCCACGAGCAACGGAGGAGCGATTCACTACACCTCCGAGGCTGGACCCATGTACATCAGCAACGGGGCTGGCGCTGGCATGTCGCCGAGACCCCAGCCAGCCTACAGTCCGGCCTATGGCATGTATCATCAGCAACAGCAGCAGCAGCAGCAACAGCAGCAGGTCTACTCTCCTCCACCACCGCCCCCGACGATGGGCATGTACGAGGAGCAGCGCCGAGTGGGCCGCTGCGAGGCCACGACCACCTCGTCGCCCGGTGGTGGCGGACAGCATCAGCACCAACAGCAGCAGCTCGAGGCCTCGGGACTGATCGCCAGCACTCGAGGTCTGCATCTGGGCTGCCTGAGCCCGTCGGCCAGGTACTCGCCCCCGGCGGGCAGCATGTCGCCGGACGAGCGCTGCGGCTCCTCCCAAAGCGTCGGCTCGCTCAGTCCCACGGGCTCGTCCCAGGGCGGCGGCGGCTCCCGAGGCTATCGCTCCCTGCCCTATCCCCTCAAAAAGAAGGACGGCAAGATGCACTACGAGTGCAACGTCTGCGCCAAGACCTTCGGCCAGCTGTCGAACCTCAAGGTCCACCTGAGGACGCACTCGGGCGAGCGGCCCTTCAAGTGCCACGTCTGCACCAAGAGCTTCACCCAGCTGGCCCACCTGCAGAAGCACCACCTGGTGCACACGGGCGAGAAGCCCCACCAGTGCGACATCTGCAAGAAGCGCTTCAGCTCGACCTCGAACCTCAAGACCCACCTGAGGCTGCACTCGGGCCAGAAGCCCTACGCCTGCGACCTGTGCCCGGCCAAGTTCACCCAGTTCGTGCACCTCAAGCTGCACAAGCGGCTGCATACCAACGAGCGGCCCTACACGTGCCAGGTCTGCGACAAGAAGTACATAAGCGCCAGCGGCCTCAGGACCCACTGGAAGACCACCAGCTGTCGGCCGAGCAGCGTCGAGGACGAGCTGGCCCTCGGCTCGGGCTCGCCCAATCCCTACTACGACTACGGGCCCGACGTCAATGTCGTAGGTCCGTGTCACACGACTACTCCGCACTTGTATTATTCCACGTTCAGCGTAATAACGTCTTGCGTGCAATAAAACAAACAAACAAAAAAAGAAAATCTTACCGATCGACATCTGACTGATCGTATTTTTCTTCTTTTTTTTTTCCTTTTTTTTTTGGATCTGCTTCTTATGATCCGCAGGTAACATGCCGACCACGTCGCTGCACAACCTCGAGAACAGCGTGGGTCGGCCGAGCGTCATCGAGACGTCGCAGCCTCACATAATCGAGTGCACATAGGACGCGGCTACTCGGGTCGACCTCGGCTATTACGAGTAAGAAAAAATAACGAAGATAGAAAAAAGAAACAGCAACGAGGCGGCTCGCTGGGCATTCGATTTGCCCGCCGACTTCTCCGCAGCTGCGTGTGTTATATATACCACTTAAAAAAAAGAACGAAATTAAAACAGGGAAACGACTATTGATACAGCTAATCTTTACACACAAACACACGTACACGTACACACGTTATTATTGAATATTTACTTAACGAGACCTGTACCTGTAAATACTGACAATTTTTTACATTATGTATTATTAGACACTTTTAGAGATGTATTAATCCGGCGTACTATCGTATAAGAAAAAAAAAGATTTTAAATATGCGTTAGCGCGCGCGCGAAAGACGAATTTTCTGCGATTATAATATAATAAAAAAAATAAATGTATCGAGCAAAGCAAAAAAAAAAGTAACAACGAGGTGCTCCAACCCCTCACAATCGTCTATCGAGACATCTTGACACGACTGCTATAACTTTTAAGAGAATCAATTTAATAGAGTATTTATACGAATCGACTATGTTGAACACACACAAACTCATAATATTAAATAATTAATACTTAAAAAATGGTGTAGGTTGCGCATCTTTACATACCGTACTACGTACTTAAGATCTCGAAAACATAATACAAAGAGAAAGAAAAAGAGTGTATAGGAGTGAACCAATTTTTGCGTGTAAAGGTACTAATCGGTAGAAAAAAAAACTTTTTAAAAATTTGTTCGGTTGTTTGTTTGTTTATTTTCGTGGGCGAAAAAAGGCTTTTATGTTATATTATATAGATACCAAAACGGACAAATTTTTCACGAATTTGCTCATCGTAACTTGACTGACATATTATATTAGCTGACTGATTAGATGTTTTTTCTGTAACGTAAAACTTGCAAATTTACTCATTTTATATAAAAACAATTATAGTAATAATAATATTAGTAATAATAATAATAATAAGAATAATAATAATAATAATAATAATAACAATAATAATACCAACTTGAACAAAAAGCTACGGAACGTGTGCTCGCTGTGCAACTGCTTCAATCGAAAAAAATTATATGTATAGTATACATATATCTATATTATTATATATATATTTAAACTCTAAGGGGACGAATATTTCTATTGCGATTATTATGTAAATATAGATAGCTAAAGAGAAAAAAAATTTCATTGGTAATACACATGAAATTCTAATTTGTGATATATAATTGTAATGCGATGCTCTTTGTTAAAGCGAAAAAAATTTTTTTATATATTGTATATTTATGTTACACGTGAACAAAAAAGACTATTCACCGGCCTCCAATCGGAAATTCGATATAATATAATTTTTTCTTTTTAAATGTGCGTTTATTATAATATGATTGCGAAGCGTATAAATATATGTTTAGGTGCGAATTTTTTCTATAAAAATTAAACAAACGAGAGAGATAGAGAAACTGAAAAATTGGTGCATTTAATGAAAGACGAATCCGTTGTTATATTATTATCTTTATATTCTATGGGTATAAGATGCAGTTAGTATTAAACGATTGGTATATTCTATTTACTTTTGATATCACCGAATGTGTACAGGGCCCTTTTGTTGAAAACGAGAGGCTTTTTTAATGACTAAAAATCACACAGCGTGAATTGTATAAAATTGCGAAAAATTGAGCGAAAGTTATTTGTATATATGTGTATATTATAGGCCAAAAGGACTGATTAAATTTGTATATTTACCTAATTTTTTTTTTCTTTTGTTGTTGGTGAAAAATCAATTCAAGCGCGGGACGAAAATATTCGCGGCCTGCGGTGTGTGTGTTCATTATTTAAAGCGAAAAAAAAGAGAAATTTATTTGCTCGTACCCTGCACGAAAATGGATGTAGATTTATTTTCTACATGCATTACTAAATTTTACACATGCAAGATGATCTATGCTCCGACGCGTTAATTTGATCTTCGGCGGGGTGCCTTCAACTTTTAATAAATCCACCACTTGATTCATTCTTCACCATGGTCCATGTAGAAATGATACATTAACCCACCGTACTCATCAATGATCACGTAATGATTGATAAAACCCTCACTTGAAAAACAAAAACAAAAACTAATCATTGTGCAATTGAATTTAAAATCGAGACAAAAGTGTAAATTTTGGTTACGAATATTATTAAATATACATGAATATATGACGAATATATTTATATATATACGAAAAATTTATAAATGACATATTATAGTATCGTTAAATATTTTATAGAGTATATATTTTAGTTTTTAATTTTTAAAAGATTCCAACCTCATAAGCAGCAACAGCTTTAAGAGTCTGATTAATTGTAATTTAGTTCGTAAGCCGAATAAAAATGTTTTTCCTTCATTCACCGTCAAACGTAACATTTAAGATTATTTAAACATACACATTCATTTACATCGACACACACACACAACATACAACATATACACACACTTGTATTCAGCTCTAACGGAAAAAATCTTCGACTCGCTCAAAAATGTGAAAAAAGAAGACGGCTTTAAATTGTCAAAGTAATCTAAATTATCACTAAATTTATTCAATTAAAAATTGTCAATCCTATCATTTTTCTTTCAAACAATTTTAAAACGATCCTCAATTTAATTTTTTATTTTATTACCTCTTGGGCCGCATCGACTGTGCAATAAACTTTTTCAAAAAATTTTCCATAATAATAGGTGTTTGAATTCTTGTAGAAAAGTGTGAAACATGTACGCGCTTGTAAAAAAAAAGTATGGAAAAGAGTGAGTGTGAGCTGAATTTGTGAAAATTTTGCAACTTTTAAAGCAATAAGGCATCATCATTGGAACATCGAGCTGCCTATCTCGACTATGTTGATATCCGGTGGCACAATAGTTAATTCGTTATGTATTGTATAATTAAAAGAAAAAAAGCAAATGATCATTGTAGTCATAAAGAATCAAAAATAAAAAAAAACAAATTGAAATAAAATCATCGACGTGAACTGTGGCATATTGGTGCTCGATTAAATTAGGATGAAAAATAATAGGAACCGACAAAACTAATCAAATTGTAGAATTGAAATCTATACGCGTGTCATGAGAGTACACACGAACGTCTAATTGTTAACAAAAAAATATCTCTACGGCTGTCTCAATCGTCATCGTGCTCAAACGCTATATACGACTTTCTCATCTTGGATCTTGGACGTTGAAAAAGTAAAAAAAAAGGAATGACATTCACTCATTGTTCAAGCCAAGCATTAAATAAAGACTGTATACAAAATAACATGAAACCAGACCCGTCTATAGGTGTCTGTACTTCCTTCTTCTTTTTTTTCTTTCTTTCTTCTCTTTACATGTAACCGAGTGTATCATCATCATCGTCACCACACACAATCACGAATGAAAAGACTGTAAAGGCGATTTTCTTGTCGCGCCCATTGTGTGTTATAACACCCATGCGTTGGAACGCGCGCCTTTCGATAGAAAAAAGGAGTCGACGTCGTTTCGCGCGCGCGTTACGCATGGCAAATGAGGCGAGCGTCAATTGGATCGTCGAATTTCATTGTTTATTTATTACACAAGTATTGTAAACGGGGGGTACGTTCTTAAACGCATAATGTGCTCGCGCTATATGGACACTCGACTCGGTAATTTTTGATTGTACATACCTTTGATATTTCCATTACGAATCTACTTAATAATAACGAATCATTGTAATATTTATAAAACTATAATAATAGCTGATAGTTGATAACAGTAACCAATACCAACAACTTCAAAAAAAAAATAATCACAATATTAAAAACGATAACAATTATTGATAATAGGAACATAGTTGCAGAGTTAGTCACGAGCAACAATTTATAAAACTCATGAGTCTGCAAATTATTACGGCTATAAAACGAAAAAAAAGGAAAGAACTTTGGCGCAACAATAAGCAATATTTAGTCTTTGTATTGTGTCTCTCTCGCGTCGACGTTACTCACGAAAAACATAAAAAAGTAAACAAATATTAAAGAAACAAAAAAAACAATAGTTTTAGCAAACTATACATTCCAACAAGTTAAAGTTAGATCGAATGCAAGCGACTATATACTTTGTAATACGATTATTATGTACTTGAACGAGTGCTTCGTTAAAAAAACTTTCTTGATTTTGTGTGTTATATACTTTTTCTTCTTTGCAATAACTTACGGTACGAATAAATTGATTGTTATGCATTTATTATTGTGGATTATAATTATGAAAATAGATGATGCTCGATTTAGCATTTGTTTCTTAAAAATACAGAATAAATATATGGCTGTTGGATATTTAAAAATGAGGTTTCTTTGATTAATCACTTCCTTGTTTTCCCATTACCTGAATACCAGACAACTAAAAGACAACATTTAAAACTACAAGCAGGTCAATAACAACTTCAACAATTTCAAAAATTTCTTTTCACATATTTATTGCAATTTTTCTACAATTATTCACCAAAGTGAATTGGCCACTGGCCATTGACATACATGAATTTTATGCTTAATCATTAGGAGTAATAAAATAGGATCAACAGCCGCTCTTTACTCGCAGTATACACAAAATTCTACAAGATAATCTATCGATGCAGTGTTCACCATTATTAAATTAAACTATCTGATCATTGACAAATATTCACAATATTTATCGTTATATTTTTATTAAACCTGTGGAAAGACATCTCTAGCTTCTTCATTGAATTGTTAGTAGTGGCCTTTCAACTTTTCATTGCGAAATCATTGTCAAAGAATACGCACACAAGATATTACTTCATGAACATTTTGAAGCACCATCACCATGCTAGAAATGTTTTCACTAAGTCCATGAGCAATTGTAATTGCTTCGATTAAACTCAACATTTTCATGCATTTCATATAGTTCATTGTTAAGTTAAAATGTTCAATGTACAAGAGTTGATACTTGGTCTATCTAAGAAGATACAGAATTTTATTTTAGTAATAATAGAAATAGTACTACTAATTGTAATTATAATAATGATAATGATAGTAATAATAATAATATAATTAATTATTATATTAAACATGAAAAAAAGTTAAAAGAGAATGCTACAATTTTCTGCTAGTGAAATAATTACAGAGTTATCTATGCATCTGTTAGACGTTATTAGATAAATTACAATGTTTCTAAAAATGATTTTTAAAAGGAATAATTTGCATATGAAAATAATGATTAGAAAAATAATATTTATTTACTTATAGTTGAAAAATGATAAAATATAACTTTGACCACTGCAAACTGTAAATGAGTTTTTAATATTTTCTTGGAAAGTCAAAACTGTTTTGTACAGCCTGAAAGTTATGTGAGTTATTTTTCCACACTGCAGCTCAAAAGCAGAAATTAACATTTTACACCTTACTAGGGCACAGGGCTATCTGTACCACTCTCACTGTTGGTCCCAGTTTCACTCTTCACATCACTTTTATCACCACCTCTATCACCTCTATCATTTTTATCACCTCTGTCAGCTCTATCACTTTTATTAAGAGATAATCTTTCTCTTTTTGTACTTTTTGATAAAGTTGCCACTTCTTTCAACAAATTAGTAATTTTTGATTGCATGTTAGAAATTTTATTTTCATATTCTTTCTCTGAAGTTTTCATTCTATTTCTAAGCTCAGTTTCTGCCGTAAAATTGTGAGCTTTCAATTCCGTTATCTAAAACCAATCGAAATATTAGAAAATGCTTTTCATTGTTATTCATAAAATATGTAAACAGGCTCAAGGGCTCACCTGTTTCTCTTTGGCTAATAATTGTCCATCTTTTTGACTGATCTGTTTTTGTAAGTTGGCAATTTTTTCTTTCAAAGATGTCACAGCAACTACATGGTCTGAAATGTTAGGGTCATGTGGATCGTGTACACCAGCCATTCTTGCAGCTTTAATAGGTGTAGGACCATTATTATCAGTTGTATCAGAAAGTGGTGGAAGTTTTGTAACATCTACTCTGTGAGGCCTTTTATTATGACCTTTTAGTCTGTCAATCAAAAAATGATATTATTCCTTAGATATTATTCAAAGATATGAAGAATATCAATAATAATTACTTTTGTTCTTTGTGCTTAGCAGCTCTTTGTTGTACCATTTTCATATGTGCTTTTCTTTCCGATTCAGTTTGCTTGGTTCGTGCCAAAGCTCGTTTATAAGATAATGTACACAGCCAACAGAGTAATTTACCATCAACCTTGGATTAGAGACATTTTTTAAGTACTGTTTTTTTTTATGATTGTTCTTGTTTATTCGTATTACCTTTTTATCTTCATCATGTCTGTCAAAGGCACATTTTTGTTTACATTGTTCACAAGTGACGGGTCGTCCATATCGCTTTTCAGAATTTGTACATCTTTGACATTTGCTTCCAATAAATGCAGCTATAGTATTACAATATTCGCACGCTGATGGTTTACCATATGCCTTAACATTCTGCTCGCATTTCTTACAAATCGTGCTTGTATTTCCTTTCCTACTCATTCGGAAATTACAGAATCAATTAATGACACTGCTACTATATTATCTCCAGTCGATTTGAGATTTAATACTTACATAGTCTGTTGAAATTCTGATCGACAGTATGTGCATTTGACAACAGGGAAGGTACCTCTGCATTCCTAATAAAAATGATAATCGATAATGAATATTATCAAATGTCAAGTAATTGTGTAAATGTGTGACAAAACAAATGTGAATCAAATTCAACCTTCAACCATAACAGCATCATCATTTTAGACTCTTCTTGAAAAAGATTATAAGACAAAAGTGTGCACATATATTCATAATGCACAGATTCTGACATTCAAGCAAAAACAACCTTGTAGATAGGTTAAGAATAAGTTTGAAATCTGCATTTGGCATAGGTGTAGCAAGCTACGATAAATTTCTGCATAGTCCACAATGCCTCGTTATTTCACTTCCGGCAAAAGTACGAGGAATTATGAATTAGCGTGCGATGAAATTTTATCGGAGAAGCCAAGCAGTGCAGAAAACCCAGTGATCGATTGGCAATCGAGTCATTGCGTGCGAACGCGCGTGAACGCAATTGTATCATAATGTCAATGATCGTAAAAGTCGGAGTCATCACTGAAAAAATTGCAGCGTTTCGTATGAGCTATCGGTCAAAATAAAAACAACACGGGCGCAAGGTCACACGCGCCACGTTTTAAGCCAGGGCATCGCGTTGGACGCACAGCGTTTATTCGTGCGTACGTGGAGAAAAAAGATTGTCCTTCCGAGTGAATAATCAAATTAGAGAAGCGAAGCCTCTGAGTGACAAATTTCGAGCGACGATGCATCATCTCATCTTTTAACGCATTACATTTGAAAGTTGTTTGGGTTTGTGTTGTGCATAGGCTCTATGTATATATAGTGTGTATACGTTGTATATAAAGTAGAGAGAGAGTTAAAATGCTGTGTACACAGATTCTAACCTTGCAGAGCTGCTGTCCCGAGGACAGTTCCTCGAAGGGATGTCGGGAGAAGCATCTCGAGCAGGCGTACAGCGTCTGCGAGGTGTTGTTGCCGCTCATGGTGTGGTGCACTGGGGACGTGGGTGAGAGAAGGGAAGATGGATCCTGGCTCGCGTGCCCCTGGGGGGGTTGGACGTGCAAAATGCGACTGCTGCTACTGCTGCTAGCGCGTCGTCGTCGTCGTCGTCGTAGACGATGGGATCACAAGCGCGACTGTGGAGCGATGTCGCGTTGGTTGGCAATGCCAGTCAGTCGCCGCCGCTGTCTGGTCGGCAATCTCCTACTTTTCGCTCTCTCTCTCTCTCTCTCTCTCCGAAGACTGCGTGTAATGTGTCTATGTGTAGCGTGCGCGATGGCCCCGCAGTCGGCGGCGGCGGCTGATACTTACTCGAGCGTTCGACAACAGTCTGATTGGTGCGTGACGCCGAAATTCGTATTAAATTCATTCGCTCTCTCTCTTTCTTTCTATGCTTACGTCTTTCCTTTTGATTCTCTTGTCCATGCAAGAGACACTATGTGCTATTATAGCACATACCGTATATATACTCCTATTACTAGAGTAAGCTGATGTATCATGTATATTTGAAAATTACAAGCCGACCAGTCCAGTGACAACGCGTCAAGTTGGTAAAGATGCAGGGCGCGAATTCCGAATTTTTACAAAAAAAGCTCTCTATAACTATCCCATTGAAAAGTAAAGGGAAAAGCAGGAAAATAAAAATGTAAACGAAAAGACGTACTTTTATCAAAAGAATCGTTAAAAGGTGCAGATTTTCAAAGGACAACTTAAGCGGATATTGTCGCAGAAATATAATCGTTCAAGTTAAACAAACCATTTTATACATTTTAAGAAGCTTTATAATTAGATAAACTTTGTGTAATACACACTTGCCGATCAATATTGATTTCAGTCTCTTCTTAAAGACTATAATGAAAAGAGCTCCTTGTAATGTAATAATTGACTTCTAATGCTCATCGTATCGCAAGTAATTTTTCCTTGGCATCATCAGTTTCATGTGGTATGCACTTTGCACATCGGCTCGGCTTCGAAATCCGATCGTCGCACATACGGAGAAATATATGTCAGGCATGAATTTATAAAATAACATACCATGAGCGTCGAATGAATGAGATAGGGTTCTAGTGGTATAGAACGTAGCGCGGTAAACAGCTGATTAGGGATCGGGTGTTGTTTCAAACGGCTCTTTAGTTTTTTTCGACCTCCGTATTAAATATAAATGACTCACGAAGATCTTTTTTTATTGCATAAGCTTTTTTCGTACGTTAAGTATTAACCAAAAGATGAAATAATAAAAGTACATTGTTGTTTAGAATTGTCTAAGAAATCTAAAAATATTTCTCATTTTTCATAAATATAACTGAAATTGATTTGATGTTCATAATCAGCGGCAAAAAATTCATTGAAAATATCTCGATGAGTCCATCTGAATTGAAGACAAAGCTGTAGATCATTGGGTATCTAGACTTACGTGCAAGACATAATATACGATAGACGATCAAAAAAATTGAATGTGAAAAAGTGCGCTTTTCGATAAAATTGCTTTTATATAAAGCAAAAAACTTACGGTGAGCATAAAATTTATTATTGTCCAATATATGGGTCTTTTATGATTGATTTATGATTGATGAATCTGTGGTAGTCTGGAAGGCATTTATTATCGAAAAATATATAGATATAAACTAGAATAGCCTCTCAAAAACATTATGAGTTAGAGAGGTGAATTCACATGTACATTTTTTTCTAGGCGAACGAAAATAAACGCCCGAATTTACAAATTAGAGTTTTTCTTACGAATTAATGAGTTTCTTCAAGAGGAAATCAAATGTTTACGAGTAAGGGAGGTGCTATAAAGTAGAATGATACAACTATTCAGTTTTTTTTTAAATATGAAAATATTGTTTTATTGCACAAAGTTATCAATTATAAAAACGGCTGTATTGACAGGAAATATATGTACAATAATTATCACACTATTAAAACCAATCATAAGAATTAAAATATTTCAATTCAAATTAATATAAATGGATTAAAGCATGTTTATTCGAAAAAAGAGAATGAAAGGCTCATGAAGTATTGTGGTATAGTAGTTGGTGCTGCTGGTAGCCGTGGCAGTGGCACCTTTCATAATCCGCTAGCACGGCCATCATAACACGTGGCATAGCTGTAACGGTTACAACTTAACCATCGGTGACTGGCAAACGATCAACGGAAAACCATTTGCTGTTTCGATTATCTCGTACGTAAACTTGCGACGTTTTCCATGTACAAGAAACGTAAAATATATATACTTAAAAGTAGTTATTAAAATATCTCTCGGTTGTCTTGCTGCTTTTTTTTTTAACACAGACGTCTTCGCTTTGGCATTGGCAATATTGTGTGTTCTAGTTTCTCTTCGTCCGTTTCTTCACACAAACGAATTAGTTCCTCGTCGCACATGTGTTTAGCAATTGTACGACAAGGAACGTATGGCAGGTTTAATTTACAGTATTCCATCGTGAATAGATCTGCTACGAACAATTCCAACTGTAGTCTTATCAAAGTATTTTCTGGTTGTACACCAACGAGAATGGATTCGTTTTTAACTTTAATCAAATATTTGATCATATTGAGTCGGATTCTCATTTTCAGTTCGTAGCCATGTGACTGCAATAATTGCATCACCTTCATTACGTTCGAAGTTATAGGATAGCTCTTCAATTCTTCTTCACGGAAATTCACAACAAACAGTTTGTTCGCGTCTAAACTACTCAGGTTTGCACCGTGTTTCAATAGCGAACGTGTAAGCTCTACTTTGAAGCGAGACACTGCTATCTGTAACGGTCGATCTCCGTAGGCATTGCGAACTTCGATATTTGCTCCATACTTCACAAGCATGTCAACTATCTCACCGACTGGTTTTTTTTCTTCACAGGAATAACAATCATGCTCGCATAGACAGCGAGGAATTGCTAGCCAAAACAATGGTGTCGACTGCACACTGCTTCCTTGATGATTCGGATTGGCTCCATTTTCCAATAAAATTTTAATGATTTCTGTGTTCTTAAACTGGACAGCGATGTGCAATGGCGAGTACTCGTAGGTGTCGAGAGCAATATCTACTCCTTGACTTATGAAGCGANTAAGTCAAGGAGTAGATATTGCTCTCGACACCTACGAGTACTCGCCATTGCACATCGCTGTCCAGTTTAAGAACACAGAAATCATTAAAATTTTATTGGAAAATGGAGCCAATCCGAATCATCAAGGAAGCAGTGTGCAGTCGACACCATTGTTTTGGCTAGCAATTCCTCGCTGTCTATGCGAGCATGATTGTTATTCCTGTGAAGAAAAAAAACCAGTCGGTGAGATAGTTGACATGCTTGTGAAGTATGGAGCAAATATCGAAGTTCGCAATGCCTACGGAGATCGACCGTTACAGATAGCAGTGTCTCGCTTCAAAGTAGAGCTTACACGTTCGCTATTGAAACACGGTGCAAACCTGAGTAGTTTAGACGCGAACAAACTGTTTGTTGTGAATTTCCGTGAAGAAGAATTGAAGAGCTATCCTATAACTTCGAACGTAATGAAGGTGATGCAATTATTGCAGTCACATGGCTACGAACTGAAAATGAGAATCCGACTCAATATGATCAAATATTTGATTAAAGTTAAAAACGAATCCATTCTCGTTGGTGTACAACCAGAAAATACTTTGATAAGACTACAGTTGGAATTGTTCGTAGCAGATCTATTCACGATGGAATACTGTAAATTAAACCTGCCATACGTTCCTTGTCGTACAATTGCTAAACACATGTGCGACGAGGAACTAATTCGTTTGTGTGAAGAAACGGACGAAGAGAAACTAGAACACACAATATTGCCAATGCCAAAGCGAAGACGTCTGTGTTAAAAAAAAAAGCAGCAAGACAACCGAGAGATATTTTAATAACTACTTTTAAGTATATATATTTTACGTTTCTTGTACATGGAAAACGTCGCAAGTTTACGTACGAGATAATCGAAACAGCAAATGGTTTTCCGTTGATCGTTTGCCAGTCACCGATGGTTAAGTTGTAACCGTTACAGCTATGCCACGTGTTATGATGGCCGTGCTAGCGGATTATGAAAGGTGCCACTGCCACGGCTACCAGCAGCACCAACTACTATACCACAATACTTCATGAGCCTTTCATTCTCTTTTTTCGAATAAACATGCTTTAATCCATTTATATTAATTTGAATTGAAATATTTTAATTCTTATGATTGGTTTTAATAGTGTGATAATTATTGTACATATATTTCCTGTCAATACAGCCGTTTTTATAATTGATAACTTTGTGCAATAAAACAATATTTTCATATTTAAAAAAAAACTGAATAGTTGTATCATTCTACTTTATAGCACCTCCCTTACTCGTAAACATTTGATTTCCTCTTGAAGAAACTCATTAATTCGTAAGAAAAACTCTAATTTGTAAATTCGGGCGTTTATTTTCGTTCGCCTAGAAAAAAATGTACATGTGAATTCACCTCTCTAACTCATAATGTTTTTGAGAGGCTATTCTAGTTTATATCTATATATTTTTCGATAATAAATGCCTTCCAGACTACCACAGATACATCAATGTAAAATAGCGACTTGCTTCGGATTTATAATGTTAATATTTATTTAAGTTAAATTTTTAACTATCGAAGAATGCAATTAATTAGTTGATCTATAAATTTACATATATTTTTAGAAGTACGTTTAGAAAAAGTCGGGCAAAAGGTGATTTGTTTAGAATAATTACCTCAGAAAAATAACTTAAACTATTACATTTGGATATGATGTTCATTGATTTATGGGGCTCGTGCTCCCAAGTTTTGATTTCAGGTTTTTCCCAAGATATTTGGGTTTATCCAAGTTTCAGGTAGGCCCAAAATCGATCAAAAAACCCCGACCCGAATCCGAGTAAAAAAATCGACTCCACCCAAATATTCCATGTACCCACACAACCCTAGTTTAATCAACAAATTTTTATGTTGATGTGAAACATCTTTTGAATTAATGATAAATCCACGTGCAATAGTTGTCTGCATTTTACGAAGGTTCGAACTTTGAAGTATGCATTAGCAGAAGTTATTTTATCACTCGAAAACATGACAGGAGATGAGTAATGACGAGTGACGTCCATCCACGTGTCTAATTTTTACTATATTTGTAAACAAAAAAACCATTACGTTTACTAGCGACTCTTTACGCGAGATACTTCATGTGACACTCGTACGTGTATATAGCAAAAACTATAGTATAGTTCGCGATTCGCGCGAGAGAGAAAGAGAGAGAGAGAGAGTGAGAGGAGCAGCAGCGGAGGAGGTGACCGGATTCTACAGGCATACACTACTATCGCACGCGCAGTCATACAATAGCAATAGGAGAAGCGTGAGAAGTGCTAATACAGCGCGAATAAAAAAAGAAATAGAAAAAAAAGATCACGGTTTGTAATTTGTGCATATGATAAATTGCACATAGCTTCGAATGCAGCAGTGTTCGTACGTTATCATAATCACGCTTTATCAACGACGATGTAGTGCTGGTGCGAATCGTAACGAACGTATAATAATATCCCAACGACGAGCGAACGAGCGAGGCCTGCATAATACGTACGTGTAATACCCGAACTTTTTTTTAATGTGTCAACAATCGAGCACCTACCTTCATACTTCAGGCTCTCTCGATAGGCGAGCTAAATGAATTTTAGCAATTTTTTCCTTGCTTTTTTGATAAAAAAAAAGACGCACATCGGGCATAGAAAGAAGGGAGTAGATGTGTTAACAAGAGCAGCGCCGGTCGTCATCTAGTTTTGTCCGAGACACGCGCCGTCGAAAACGACGAATTTTAAACTGTATTACATGTATATATACATGTATATTATCAGGAACGGAGATGCTCCTCCTCCGCTTCTCGTCTAGTTTTCCTCCGTCCTCGTCGTCGGCACTCGGCTGTTTTCTCTCTCGCTCGAGCTGCAGCGGCCTGCGTGCAGCACGACGGCAAAGTCGCAGCCCTCGATTATAGTGCAGTGCATTGACATATACCTATATATATATACACATATACGCACACTCACACACACACACACACAACATAGAACGTCGCTGATTAACCTGTAATAATCATTTACATCGCACAAGACGACAACTGACGGTTAACCCGCGAGCGAGCGGCTCGTCTGGTGACAAGTCTAGTAGCGGTGCGTTGCCTTTCAATCAATTTCTCGTGCTTGCTCCATTATAAAGTGAAAAATAGTGTCCACGGCAATTGTTGCATCGCCTCATTATGATGTTACTTTGACTCTCGCGACGGCTCTCAATCTCATAGATGTCTCGTCGCGATCGTCGACCGTCCTCGTCGTCGTCTGCGAGTGCTGTATAATGTAAAAATTGCTTCTTCTGCTGCCGCTGCTGCTACCACTACTCCTAAGCTTTATGTGGAGTACGTCATAAAAGTGCATTTTTTTGCGAGCGGCTGCGAAAAGGACCCCTCCTGTGTTACATTATGTAGGTCCGTATATAAGCTCGCTATAAAGGGCCTGCAAATGTTGTGCCCTCCCCGGTTAATACACGCCTACGATATATAGTGAGCTTGACACGGATAATAAAGATCATTATAATAGTTGTTGACTTCGATGTCGCTCGTTGAAACCGGGTATAATACATAATGACATTAATTGCCGCATGCTATACTTGCCTCTCTCTGTCTCTCTCTTTCTTTCTTTTTTGTGATTACCAATACCATTTTTTCCTCTAGTGCATCTACTCATCTAGCATAACTGATAGACACCGACGACGACGATGACGACCGAAGTGTCTATACATACAAATATCCACACATAAATGTATATACATTTTTTTCGTTTTATCTCAACTTGTATAATGTTAGTGCGAAAGAGGAGATAGAAAATAATGTAACGCGGTTGAGCGCGAATGACGTGTGTACATACACATTGCCATTAGGCATAAGTGTGTGTGGCTTCCTGGAAATGAAACAACTTACACTTATAATATATATATGTAGCATGTATATTTCGTTGTTTACGATATGTATCTGTCTGTTCGGCTGATTGCAACGCCAGTAATAAGTAATGCTCGTCTGCGCGTCTCATGACTACTGAAATTACTTTTGATGACGAAAAGTCACTTTTTTGTCTATTGTGAATTCGTATGCTCAATGCCATTTCTTTTTTTACTACAAACTAATTTGCTTCAATGTGCCTCTTCGTTGTGCGAGGTTAGACCGTGATATACTTGAGATAAGAGATAAAATGAAAAATGTAATCATTAGATTTTTTAGTTTCCATGTTGTAATAGTTTCATTAGACTCTCACTTTTGTGAATTAAACTTTTTCATGACTGACATATTTTATAGAAAGATTAGAGCAAATTGGGTAGCTTGAGTGCTTGAATTATTTTTTATTCATATAATTTACATAATAGTTTTAACAAGTTTCTAATCTAGGGTAAATTTTCAGAACTTCATTTATAGATTCATTTTAAGAAGTCTTGAGAGTATCTAATGCTCTCCCTGGTTGTATTACAACTAGCAGTAAGATGGCTGTACAGCTGGATGGAGGAGGAAAGGACGACTTAAAAACACAATTTGTCACACGCGAAGGGACATACAAGCTTATGACCCTGTCGGAGTATTCGAGGCCAAATAGGGTTGGATATACCAATAGCCAGGGAAGCGCCTCCGTCAGGGTATCTTTTGTAACGCTGCCCGATCCTGTTGATCCATCTGGTAACCTGGGGCTTGGTGACCGGATGTGTTTCAATTTTGGCAAGGAACTATTTGTTTATGTCTACAAAGGTGTCAAAAAGGTAAATCAATCTTGGTTTACATTGAATATATTTATGTGACATAATTATTTATTTCTATTTTTAAAAACTCCAATCGTATGATTTTCAATATTTTATTTTTAAAATTAACTTTTTCAGGCTGTGGACTTGAACAAACCTGTAGATAAAAAATTGTACAAAGGAACCAATCCTACATGTCATAACTTTAATCAGCATACAGCAACAGCAGAAAGTGCACCATTATTAATTGGTTTTTCAACTGGTTTGATACAGTTGATAGATCCTATTAAAAAAGAGCTCAGTAAATTATATAATGAAGAGGTAAATAATTTTTAACTTTATTAAATAATTTTTTAGTACATATATTGAAAATAATACTTTCTTGAATGGAATTTGTGAGTTATAACAAAATTTTATGGTTTATTTTAGACAAAATAAGTTTATAATTGGCAACTAGCAAAATTTATTATTTCTATGATGGTTTATTAATCTTTAAATAGTCTTCATATTTTTTATTAAACATATTGATTATATCTTTGATACAATTTTTTTTAAATTGTATAATTTTATTTTGTCTAAAAGTTTCTGTGTATCTACTGCAACCCACATTAATGCAGGTTTTTTATGTGATTACCTTATCTTGTTGAAACATGATAAACGTTTTAATTTGCAAAAACCTTGTTTTCTTTGATTATCGTGACATTGAATATACATTGATGTTCAATATCTAACAAAAATTTGTTTGTCTGTCTAGACTTGAAAGATTCTAATTAAATACAATTATAACTCAATCAACTAATTAAGAACAACTGAATAAAATTATGTAACTCTTTTGCAACATTCTATGTCTCTAGGACAACCTGTAAAAGATTATTTACATAGTTAACTTGTACATAAATACTTTTTGTATACTTTTTAAATTTCTATGTGTACTGTACTAAAATATAAAAATCTTCTTGAAACAACTATAAATGAACCTTTTATATACAGGAATTAAATATGTGTTAAAAAAACGACTTGCAAATGTTAACCTCAAAATTTGTAACTTTTACAAACAATTTTCATTAGAAAAGTATGATAAAATTAATATTTTATATGAAAAAACATAAAACTTATATTTTAACATGTGGAGTAAAGTTAAGTTAATAAGAGTATTTCACATGCTTGAAATATAATTTTAATATTCACAAAAAGCATAATTTTAAGAAATTGAACTTGAATGTTTCAAATTTCATAATTTTTTTAGTATATAATTAATAATTTTATTGCAGAGGTTGATAGACAAATCGAAAGTAACTTGTATAAAATGGGTACCTGGCTCAAGTAACCTGTTCCTAGTATCATACAGTTCAGGTCAGTTGTATCTGTATAATGAAGAACTTATGTGTGGTACTACTCCACCGCATTATCAACCTTTCAAATCTGGGGAAGGCTATGCTATACACACATGTAAAACTAAATCCACAAGAAATCCTCTGTACAGATGGGTCATTGGAGCAGAAGGTTGTTGTATAAACGAGTTTGCCTTCAGTCCAGATGGCTCTAATTTGGCTGTCGTTTCACAAGATGGTTTTCTCAGAGTTTTTCAATATGATACCATGGAATTAGTGGGCTCAGCTAGAAGTTATTTTGGAGGCTTTTTATGTGTTTGTTGGTCACCGGATGGAAGATATGTTGTCGTTGGTGGTGAAGACGATCTTGTAACCATTTGGAGTTTTCATGAGAAAAGAGTTGTTGCCAGAGGTCAAGGTCATCATAGTTGGGTCAGTGTTGTTGCTTTTGATCCTTATACTACATTTTATGGAGATCATGATGCAGACTTTAGTGGATCAGATGATGAAATATCAGTGCCACATGTAAACCATAATCATATTCACGAAAAGGCCAAAAGATTGTCAACAACATCTCAAAGTGGCCATTCTAACAGAAATTCTTGTAGTTCTGAGCTTAGAGTACCCGGTGGTACATGCTACAGACTCGGCAGTGTATCACAAGACACTCAGTTATGTTTATGGGATATCACTGAAGATGTTCTCAGACATCCAGTTTGTCAGAAACAAAGATTATCAATTTCTGCAGCTAGTTCTGGAGCATTTTCATCATCTGGAACATTTAATAGTGGAAATGGTGCTATGGCAAACCATGTTGGCAATAACAGCAAACATGTAAATTCTAATAATATTAGTCTTAAAGAGACTACAAGCACTAACAACGATATCAGCAACAATTCCAGCAATGTTGCTGTATCAACAGTGAACTCTCTTACTCAAAGGCTAGCTGGGCTTGGTTTTGGAGATAAAAAAGGTGGTGACAACCAGAGGAGGAACTTTAGTTTGACTATGAGAGGAAGTGGAGTTTCTACTAATAATACTTTGGTACAACAAAACAGTGTAACTGATAAAATTGTAGGAAGTACAAATGGAAGTAATATAAACAGTGTCAGTGGAAGTTTAGGTACAAGCAAGAAAGTTAGTTCTGTGATGGATGATCCCATGAAACTCATTGGGACTGCCAGATGTCCTAGGTTTGATGAGTGTCCTGTGCTAGAACCTTTAGTGTGTAAAAAACTGGCTCATGAAAGACTGACTGAATTAGTTTTTAGAGAAGATTGCTTTGTAACAGCTTGTCAAGATGGATACGTGTATACTTGGGCAAGACCTGGTCATATGGTAGGTCCTCTTACCATAAATACAACCCTACACAGACCACACACTGATAGTAACTCTACACAGCAGAATGATCTCTGATGCACTGACATTTATTGTTACCAATATTGATTTTTTGCCAATTTTTATTATTAAATGTAGATGAAAAATAGTTCATTTGTGTACTATAAATATATTTTTATATAATTTGCTAAATAAAATTTTTTTTCAATTTATGTTCCTTGAAATTAAAAAAATTGTTGGTGAAGTTCACTAAAATCATACACATATACTGCACATGTAATAGACTCAGAACCCAAAATATTTAACTAATTTTGAAAAAAACCAACTACATCACATACTAATATAAAAAAAAAAATTAGGTTTAATTCCCCCCTAACAGTAAATTTCATGAAAAATTATGTGAATTACACTTTTTAACTCAACGCTCAGAATAGATAACATTCTTAATATCAACTTTATTTTATTAACAGAATTTCAAATAAAAAAATTGATTTTTTTAGAAAATAAATTTTTTCCAATTAAAGTTAGAAGATAACCGTTGAACGTTCTTTTGAATAAGATAGTTAAAAAGTATTTAGTGTTTAGAAACTATTGCAGTGCAATATACATATATTAGTGTATCTCTCATTATTCCATAGTTAAACTTATTTTAACTATTTTAACAAATATGATATAATTCATGGACACTACACAGCTTCAAAATCAGTAGTAATTTAAATTGTGGCTTAAAACTGAATATAACTTTATAATGAGGCATAGCACTTTTTGTGAATTTGTGTTGATTGGAAGTGGAGTAAAGTAAAATACTAGATGTTTCCAAACACATAATTTACAATTTTTGTTATTTATGTTTTCAAAATGAACAATAAATAATTTATATTAGTTTATTAATGATTGCAAAAGTACAAAAAACCATTATATATTACAATTTGTTATTTATGTTTTTAATTAAAACTTCCAGAATGAAATTTCTACATAAAAAATAAATTAAAAAAATTTTTTTTACAAATGCACACATTGATTTACTTTTTACGAATTCTTAAAAATAATTTAATTGAAACAGTGTTTTTAAATTAATAAGCTGATCTTTCCGTTTCAAATATTTTGTTAAGAGATAATAAAATTATCTAGCTTATTACAAAAAAAATAAGATCTATTGGTAATATAGTAAGTGAAAAATCTAGTTATTAAAAAATAATTAGTACCATAATAAAAAAACGTTCAACCATTTATTTACATTTATTACTTATCTTGATTAAAAAGTAAAATAAAATTTTCATTGAAAAATGTTACTATCTGCTTGAACTTGCATTCTTACGTTATTTTTAAACATGTAATAGTATCTTATTTAACAATATGACTTGAATCGGTTTTTGGTCAATCTTAATTTATTGTGTGAGTTTTATGAATATTAAGCTTTATGAATATTAAGAAATATTTCCTTTACTTCAGTTAATAGTAAAATGTTGGAATTTAATAACTAAATGACACATACATATCTTGAAAAATATAAAAATAGTACCTTGAAAACGTGATGTACTATTTTTAAGTACAATGTCAAATCGTTCCATGTAACAATATATTTTTAATTAATTGCTACAAACGATTTTAATTGATGAATCATTCATTATTTATTGACTATGAAAGTTGTCGAAAATCTTTTTGCACCCCAGATTTTACACAATATTTAGTCACTGTATTACTACGTTACTACTATGTTCTAGTGAAAAAGGGTAACGTTTGTACAATTTAATTGACTTTATACACTATGATGTAAGAAAAAACAAAAATAACTTTACTTCAATATTTACTTATGAAATTAAAATATTACAACAAAAAATGTCAGGCCTGATTAAATTAAACGGTAAAATCGATTAATAATTTAATCGTTCTTGTTTTCTTGATTAATCAATCTAATTTACTTTTACAGCCTGGAATGAATCAAGTGGGAGCTAATTTAAGAGTCGTGAGTCCGGCCGAAAGCAACAGTACCATCGTCTAGCAGCAATAAAAAAACTAATTATAATTAAGTATTTACGAGCGAATCTTCAGCAATATTTTTTTTGCTTACAAACTGCAAGAATCAGTAAAAAACATCATTATTGTCGAATAAGTATGTCATAAATATGTTATTAGTGAATCGTTTCATCAGTAAATGCAAAGCAACAGAATTATATTATATATTATATATGAATATAACGAAAACGACCTCGTCTTTTGTAAATGGATAATACAATTTTATGAATATAATGTGTAATAATAAAGTCGAAAGTTAAGAATACTGAACTTTTTTTAATTATAAAAACCAGTGCCGGTTATAATTTTACGTATTGTTAAATCAAGTCGTAAAAATGCAAACAGCTGTACAATGTATGAGTATTATTTATTTAAAAAGCAAAAATATAAAAATTTGTATGGGCTATAACAAAGTCACTACATAATTTATGTAGATTTTTGTTGAAATGATATAAATATTTATATATATAATATATAATAATAAAATATGCCCAATGAGACTGATATATTCTATAATGATGATAATTATGATTAAAAATTTTTGGCAAAGGGCATACAAATTTTTTAGAATTTCTCTTCTACGAATGCTTTTTTGTATGAATCGACTGATTGAGTGATAATTCGTTTTTGTGTACATTTATATCAGAATTTTAGAGAATGAATCATAATATATGTGTATAATATGAGAGTACGGGACGAGAATGTAACATAGCGATCGGGCGGTTTCACAGTTTATTACGATCATTGTGTTTCAATATCAATTATTTAAATACTATTCTTCGAAAAACCTAAAATGTTTATATTATCCGTTCTTAAATACGATTACGTCATTCCAATAAAAGTAAGAATAAGTCATTATAAAAAAATTGTATTTTGCATCGAATCTTCCTGTCAATTCCAAATAATAATTCCCTTTATGTTGAGAACGAACATGTTTTGTATTATAATATCATATGTTTTTAATCAAGGACTATCAAAGAACTTACACTTGATGATAATTTTCGCGCGTCTGTTCACTTTCTGTGTCATTTTTGATTTTACCGCCGTTTACTACCTTGCAGTAGGCCTTCGTAGCCAACATTATCAAGTTAAAATATAACTGCGGTTTAAAAATAAATTCCTAATCTACAACAAACGGAACAAGATGAATGTATTGAACTTATCCAACAATACTTTTCTTAAATTTCACTTTTAGTTTAGACATTTTTATTTGTTATTATGAATATTTTAATTCTTGAATGACAGTCATGTATTGGCAACATTGCTCCAAGAAGACGCGACTCCAAACTCCAAAGTCCGAATGAATCGCAACCGTCACCGCTACTATAAATACGTTTGACAGTTGTAACTACTTGGACACCGCAAAGCTAAAAAACTATTAATAAGAGCTGTTCTCGCTCTTCCGGGTTGATAATGAAATCGAGTACAAACGCAATGAAATGTTTTCCCAATTTGTACGGATTAAAGTAGTGAGGAGTTTCTTTCTAATTAATGTTTTAATTGCGTCAACACAAGGCTTTCGCGATGAAGCGGAGCTTCGAAGCCTGGGAGAAAAAGAATTGCAAAGAATTAAAGGTAAATAATTGACTTGTTTTTATATTTTTATATTAGAACACGTGGTGCGATTATTTGCTTACCACTAAATATTCTTAGAAAAAGCAGAATTGTCGAATCATGGAGAGTGCTGGCACAATGCATTGAGAGCTATCAAAACTAGTTGTGACAAGCTCAACGACAATGAGCATTCAATTTTAGCTCTGCATTTAGCAAATTGTTTTTTAGAAGATTCAGGACATGATGTGTATTCATGTCACTTGAAAGATAGTGAAAAAGAAAGGAGGTAAGTGAGCGTATGAAATTTGAATTTGATTCTGTATAATTTATTTTTATATGCACTATGTAGACAATGTATCAACACAATGACAGATAGGGCCTTTGGAGTCTACAATGAATTTTATATTTATTCTTCTCACATTTGTACCTTCTTGAACCATGAACTTTGGCAAGCGGAAACTCATAATACTATAAAAAAGTAAGATTCACTTTAAACATAGAATTTTAATGTTACTCTATGAAATTACATTTTATAATATTTATTATAGCTTATATGAAGCCTCTTCACTCATGAAGAAACAACTTTTAGAAGCATCTCAAATGCAAGGTGAGATGTTAGAGAGTCAGAGAGAAGGTTTAAAAATTCAAAATCAGCTTTTGGATAATGGAAAAGAATTGGAAAGCGTCATACAAAATTCTTCAAAATCTGTAATGGATATGGTTTACAGTTTCAAGTATTAATATTATATACATACCTATTACAAACATTTTAATAACATAAAGGCAAGAATTATGAATTAAATAAAAACTATCAATATTATTTTCAGAGAATCAGTAAATGATCAAAAAGAACTATTATTTCAAATATTTTCCAATCTTGAGGCATTTCAGAACTGGATCATTAGCGAAGTGTCGTGGTGTCAATCAATATTATACTATTCAGTCAGCTGCATATTATCAGCATTATTTACTTCTTCAAAAAAAACATCTAATGCAAGAATTGTATTATTTACAACACATAGTGTTAATGTTATATTAGAGAGAATGTTGATCCAGCATTATGATAATATTCCAAGTCATATGAACGATGATAAAATTAATATAGTATATTATGTATGGCTCATTAGAAAAACAGCATTGCTTGTTTGTTTATTAAGTCTCTTTTATGCTTATTTTTCTTATAAAGACGAATATACTGAAAATCATAGAGTTCTAAAGCGAATAGAGCATCATTTAGATAACTTACAAAGTATTACTCGAACTTCAGAAACATCAACAATAAGTATGTTGAATATAATTTGGCATGCAAGTATTTTAAATATTATATTTAATATTTAATATTTTTTCTTTTTTACAAAATTTAGGATACTCAAAAAGGTTGGCTTTAAAAAGAATAAAAAGTACAGGAGAATCTTTGCACCAAACATCTGAAAAAATTGAAAATCTGATCATTAAAAATAATGATGCTATGTGAAAATGTAATCTCAATGGAACCTTGAGCTGTTACTGTACTCGGTAAAGAGTATTTTCATAATTGTATATATAAAATTGTATATAAAATATATTATTTTCTTAAATTAAAATTTACGTGTAAAAATATTATATATTTACAACTAAAAAAAAATTGTAATCTTAAAAAATTATAAGAAATAAATAATTCTTCTTCAATTCTTTAAAAATATAATTTCATATTACACGTAAAATTTATTATTAAAAAACATAAAAATTAAGTAATGTTAAAACTTAAATTTAATGCCTAATTGCCAAATATCCGCTTGCAAAATTTTGATTATCATGTTGGCAACAAGAATAAATTTTAGAGAAAAATTGATTCAGAAGCTTCATTTTCCTTCAAAAATTTATGTAACGTGATAACATCGGAGGAAATCGGGATATAATTGCATTTGACAATTTTTAAATTAGAACAAATACATTAAATTTTATGCATTTTATTAAATTTGAGTGTGTTATATATAGTGATGTACCGAATCAATGTGCTTTTTGATATAAATCTTTACTTGCATATTTATTCTTGCAAATTACATATTATGAACCATGTCAATGTGAGTTAAAACTGATTGTCTTTGAGTATTTCCGAATATATCACCTACATGTGTGATACCTCTGCATCCATGTAGATTTTGATACTGCTTTTGTGGAAGAATTTCTTTCCGATACGATATGGTTTTGAAGATAATGCTTTCTTGCGAGTGTCTGGCCGCATATATCCCATTTTTGTTTTTATTTATCACAAGAATGTTTGCTATCATTAGGTACAGCGCATCAATGTGAATTTTAAGACTATTCTTCATTGACTGCAGCAAAAAATTTACCGAAAACTTTAAATCTTGCTAAATACAAACAAATTGGTACAAAGTGGAGCAAATTTTTATGTGAAGGTGTAAGAATCATCTGATTTTAATGCAAAAATACGCCAGATTTTAGACTATGAAAAAATCATTGTAGATGCCAATAAAAAAACGTATATCCAAGTCAGACTTAAAATTCCAGTTAACTAGGATAAGGCAGGATTAAATGATACTTGGCGCAACCAACTCGTTGTAATATAAAATATAAGTTTATCGGTAGTTATACAAATAAATGAGTACAGTATGGATGATTCTTAATAATTAATAACGATGATCGTGTGATAATAAATATAATAAGATGGTAATGAGAGTAAATAAAACTTTCATGAGATGAGCAAATGAGTTATAAAATACAAAATATTACAAATAATATAATGAGAAAAAATGATATACAGTATATTAAGCTTTCCTTTATCATATAAACACGCATCACATGTAATTTATGAGTACAATATACGTTTATATGTATTTTTTATATTTATAATGTAAAATTACTGTAGGTATTTTCAATTTCTGCTCGAAAGCAGTAAAAAGAAAGCAGTCGAATGATTTCAGCTGTCTTCTATACTGGTATGCGAGATTTTACATATGTCATAGAATTATAATCAATCGTTAACGAGCGCCCTATATAATTCGATAGGTCAACTTTCGCTCGACAAAAAAAAGCCTTAATTCGTTAGGCTTTGTCCAATTCGTTTGGGAGGACTGATAATTTGGCTGGGGGCAATCGGCGAGCCACCTCTGACAAGTTCCATATTCGGATTTCCACCTTTTTTTTTAAACAAATTTTTTCTCTATTTACTTACACGTAACGACAGCTATTCGCATTATTCGCATCGTAGAATAATGTTTAATCGGCTTATACGAAACTACATTGTACAAATTAGTCAGTGAATATAAAAAATCGTTATTTATAAACTAAGTTTACGCGATAAGATTTTTTGCATATTTTTAAAAATGACCGCGAAGCTTATGTATGATTCAATTGCACATATTACGATTTTTTACGTTCGAGCTTTTCTCCTCGTGGGAGTCTGTTTTTTTTTATTTTTGTATTTTTATTTTTTTTCTTTTTCATAAATTAGCGTCATTCGAGTGTCTCGAGAGCCGATTTTTGCCATTGCATGACCTCATCAACTATACTCGATCACACGTTAATTCACGAGGGGCTGGGAGAAAATATCGAGGGATCGATTATTCACGCTGAAAATGGAAGTTAATCGATAACGCGATCCGCTAGATTATTCGACAATTTCTCGGATTATCTCGATTCGAAAAGAGATACATTATGCATTTGAATACGTCTGCAATTCGTTCGTATTGTATGTCACCCATTCTAATAGAGATAATTCTTGGGATCCTCGGTGGGCTGGCCGCAGACGCCGTGGTACTTCTTGATCACGTGGTTCCTCGTGCGGCAGGTCTCGATCTCGAGGAAGCACTCGTTGCTGTAGGTCATGCCGTCCGTGCCGCAAACCGGGTCGTAGTAGGGCGGGCAGATTTTCTGGCAGCCGCGGAACAGAAAGCCCTGCACGCATCGCTTCATCGGCACCACGTAGACGTGTTTCCTGACGAAAGAACAAAAAATGGGTCATTTTTCCGAAACGTTGTAGCATATGATAGACAATCGTATGATTATCGAAACTTACCCGCAGTTGTCCCTCTTCATCTCGCACTCGTTGCGATAGAGCTTGTTGTCGGAGCCGCAGACGAACTGCCTCTCGCCGCTGCAGATCTGGTTGCAGAGGGCCGTCGTGCGGCAGTGCTGGGCCGGCACCTGCACCACGCGCTGACCGCACGTCTCTTTGCGCAGCTGGCATAATGATCTGTATGAACAGAAACAACGGAGGAAAAGCTATAAAATCCGTGCTATGTATGCGCATTTTTTCGTATAAGACGACGAGTAACGTGTAACAATTTCGCCGAAAACGAGTCTATACTTATAACAGTGCCTGATAATCTTATTCCATTTAAGATGATATATAAACATCTTTGACCATGAATGATCAAAAAATGGCCACTAAAGTGTTTTAAAATGTAATTTATTATACTTTTCTATTCAGTTTATTGAACCAATTTTAAACGACCTTAAAATGAAAATTTAATTGCTTCAAGAAATTTAGATCAATTTTCAAACATTGTATGTACGATAATACTACTTTAAGCTTCCACCACTAGATGTCGAGTACCTATATGTATAAATCTGCAAGTGTAAAAATAAATATAATATATAAGTTCGAAAGCAAAATAAAATTTTTTTGATTGGCCTTTTTTGATACTAATGACCTCTTTACAACAATAGTTTGAGGCATATTCTATAGAAATATTTGAGCTGTTAGATTAAACCAAGAATTAATTTTTTTAGGATTCTTATAATGTGACGGAAGAGTATAATGCAAAGCTTATATTACCTGTAGACGTTTCCATCGCTGCCGCAAACAGGTTCCTCGGGTATGTCGTTGCAGTCGTCCGGACAATGCTCCAGCTCCTTCAAGGTCGTGCAAGCACCCACGTGAGCCAATTGAATGCCTTTTCTGCAGTGGCGATAAAACGTTTGTTAATTTAGACAAGCTCTTTCTCGGTGGTTGGTGCAATGTATATCAATAATGGGGCATTTCGCGTACGCAATAATACGACTCGTCGTTGAGTCTGATTATGATAAACAACGTATAGGTGTGGGCACGCGGCAGCGGAAGCAGCAGTAGCCGGCTAAATATCTGCGCGTCGCACGCGACAACGTCTGTTTACGTGGACGGAGCATCTATTTAACGATCGTGACATTTACGACGCGTCGCTTACGAGGTGTCGTCGAGTACTCGCATACGCACGAGCGAAAATGGGCCGTTTCCTTCTTTCGTACTCGCAACACTCGCTATTAGCGCGGCGCAAAATGAGCTAACGCTAACTCGAACTAACGCGTTGCGTATTACTGGGCACATCGAGCTAAATCAATTAGCGGAAAAAGCTCGGTGTACCTGATAATGTGCCATGTACTTACAAGCAAACGGCGACATTCAGGTGGCACTGGTTCGGATAGGTGCTGGCGTCGCTGCCGCAGACCGGGTCCAGATCGTTGGCGCACAGCTGCTTCTGCTTCGTGCACTTGTTCAGTCGCGATCGGCATTTCTCAAACTCCACCACTGTCACTTTTCTCCTGGTGTTGCTGCAATTATAGCGTATAATTTTACACATTAACTCAACATTATGGGCGATTCAAATGTCAAAAATCTCTGCTCGTCAAAACGATCGCTTTGGTCCTGCTCGAGTCACGTACATACGAATTGCAAAGGACCGTTGAAAGGACAACTATACAATGTCAATTTGTATGGCTCGAGCTCTGCGCCCGAATCAAAAGCTGACGCATGTACTGTATGCAGCATGGGCTATTGAGACAAGCAACAGAGCGTACGCCATAAAGGGCCATTTTGATACGTATTCGGTAATAGAGATCTTGTGCTCACCCGCAATTAAGCATCTCCATTTCGCATTGACTCCGGTAGATACCGCCGTCCGAGGCGCAAACTGGCACTTCCGGCTCGTTCTTGCAGTCGAGTGGACAGGCGACGACGTTGCTGCTCGAGGTTCTCTGCTGAGACACGCAGAACGACATGGGCACCTCGAATACGTGCTTTCTGCAATTACAAAACGAAAACATGGCGATGTATGTTTTTCAGCTTGATAATAATTCAATCGAGAGATTAACATTTCAATATAAGGTATTACCCAGGTAGAGTAAAAGTAAAAACTTGAATCAAACGCATATAAAAGTACGCGATAATCGGATATAAAAATGATTCGTTCTTATATGGATACCGCAACGAGGCGAGTTAAAAATGAAAAATGTAACATTTTACGGGACAATAAAAAACGTCGCCGGCGACGAAGAGAATGGCCATTGCATAAGCTCCAGAGAGGACGATATACACGTCACACGCGTGTAGAAAATGGATAAATTATAAATGAAAAGTCGAGTTGTCGCGTTGGTCGACCGCACGTATATTACTCGCGAATGTTACACATATATATAGTTATATGTACTCACCCGCAATTCTTCGCTCGCATTTTGCAGGTGTTGGCGTAGAGGATGCCGTCGCTGCCGCAGGCTGGCTTGGCGCCGCGCCAGCAGGACTCTCGGCAGTGTCTCGTCGTCTGGCAGTGCTTCTTGTTCGTCCTCACCACTCCCTGCCTGTGAAAATACATATACGTATAAACACGCACGTATATGAACATCCGCGCGCGACGCATGAAAAATTTAATTCCGATCGGCCCGATGTGTAACGCGAGAAAAGAGAGAGAAACAGCTCGATATGCATACGTATACGTACATGCAAGTACGTGTGTGTAGCGCCACTCGAGCGCGTATAACATATGAATGTATTAGAATCGATAAATCGCAGTCGCGTCGCAAGCTCCGAGACTCTAGTGTTTTTCCTTTTGTTTGTATCTCGTCTCTCTGCATCCGTACGGCAGTTGTGTTATTTATTACGATTGGCTCGGTCGAGCGCGCGCCCGTATAATCTAGGGATAATTTGTATAGATGTATGTACGTCGATTTCATTGCGGAAAAGCCCGCAGAGAGAGAGAGAGAGAGCAGTTTTCGATGAAGTTTCCGACTTGCGTACTTGGACCATTTTCAACGTATATCTATATCGGTCGATGTGTGATAAATGAATCTGTGAGTATATAAAGCCGCGAGCTATATATATACGACAAATGTCATCCTACGAGAGTAGGATTTCTGCGGATTTAAGTGGCATTCCACAGGCGCGGGGACGACTTACCACACGAAACATTGTAAATGCTGTATCCCTTCGCTCTGTATATACAGATGTAAAATTAATTATAAAATCTTTGGACAAGTAGGAAAAGTACGCCTTCTCGAGTGGAATTGTTACGTGTATGTATACTCAGGTATTATAATGGAGCGCACGCATTCCCTGTAATCCTCTTATCTTTGGCGCCACGGCGCTCCAAGCACATTATGACTTACTTCTCTACCACGACGACGCGCGCATGGATTATCGGGTAAAAACGGCCCTGCGCTCGCGACGATAATACACGCACGCATAGCTGCATGTCTCTGGTTAGCATTGGTATATAAATACGTACCCACAAGTTAGCAGCTTCATTTGACAGGTGGACTTGTAGACGTTGCCGTCGCTGCCGCAAACCGGTCCGTCGAGGGGCGCGTACTCGCACGACACCGGGCAGTTCTCGCGGTGGGCCGAGATGTTGTTGCACGGCCCGAGATGCGACAGCTCGATGCCGACCCGGCAGATCTCCACCCTCAGCATGCACTTGTTGAGATAGGTGCGGCCGTCGGTGCCGCACACGGGGTCCTGGTCGCCGGGGCAGCGGTGCTCGCACTTGGCCCCCGACGAGCGCATGCACGCCGTCTTCTCCTGGGCCACCGACACGCCTGTTTGGACAAAAAAAAAAAAGAAATCACATCGATGCAGAGACTGAATGCTTCGGTCATCGGAGTTCCGTGCAACGGATGCGATGCTCACCTTTGCCGCAGGTCTTCTTGCGCATCTCGCAGGACGAGGCGTAGATGACGCCGTCGCTGCCGCATACCGGATCGCCGCCAGCTTGACAGATGCGCGGACACGAGCTGCCGTTTACGTAGCCTGAGGACATACCAGAAACGGCCATTAGTCACGAGAGCTACCCAACGGAGCGCTTACATGTATAGATGCTATGAAATCCACTTCGATGTTTAGATATACGTGTACATCGTCAACTTTTACCAATTCCCGTATATAACTCAATCGCACGCGGCAATGTTTCAAGCCAGCGACTTTTCTCGTGCGCAAGTTCAACAGACTGTATGCACGCGATACGGCTGCACAATTAATTTCCGATAAAACAGAATTTATTCAGCTTTGCGTAAGCGTTGATTAAAAGCCCGAGATGCTTTTTTTTCGCTGCAATTTACGTACCAGCAGCAGCAGACGTTACGCCGCTGTGCGTAACGCAGCGATTCGTAAAAATATGGCCAAGAATCAACCATTTGTATACACACTTGCGGCGCGCGAGCTGAAACAGGAGCCGCGCCGATCGCGTGTTCGCAGGCACCTCTTTACGTTAGGCTCCTGTATAAGTTACCCAATTTGCGTGACTTTTAGCGATATTTTTTTTCACCTCGTGATCTCGAGATGCGGATCGTGTGTGGACCTTTTACATATTTTATTACGAGACTCGAATGGAAATATAACGAAGTTAGTTCATAAATACTTTGTTTGCAATGCAACTTACGAGGGATTTACTAATGTTTTTTAAATTTATTTATTTAGCAATCGTGTGTTGAGACGATTTATTTACCCCCCAAAAAACCCATGCGTGTAATACACCAAGTCGATCAATTCGGTAGCGATGGGGTGCCAACATGCTCTCGATGAAGAATTTTCCATGCTACCTCTAGCACGAATTCACGTGCATTCGCTCGGTTACACAGTTAAGTGCCACGGGTACTCGAGCCGATACAGGGAACAAATGATCGCTATCCGAAGAGCGAGCTACGATGTGCGCGCGTCCATATGCAGCAGCAGCCTAGACGATAGTTCAAGGGCTCGACACCCGTCCTTGCTTCAACGGTTGTTATGAAAAGTTTATTTTTAGAAAGCATCGATTCGATCGATTCGCGTTGATCGCTTCCGCGCTCACCGGGCTGCGATCGAGACTTTTCATCGCGACGTGCTCGACCGAGGAATCATGTACACGCGTGCAGGTATCGATTTTGTGTGTGTGTATTTTACCGATCATTTCAGGTACTTAGAGCTTACATATAGCTCGTCGGATTCAGGGAAAATAGTACGTGATTGGTTTGTGTATCGTCGTCACGGTCTGGTGAATTCCGGGTCAACAGCACCTATGCATAGTTTAGTGTTAATTAAATAACTATAAACACGTGGGCTACTGACACCTAGAATTACCGATATCATTAGTAAAATTTGATAGTCTGGTTGCGGAGACATTGTTTGAATCGATCCCTTAATAAAAAACTAAGTAATTGGATTTTTTAGCCATTTTACTGATAACTTTTCGTTATAAATATTAAGGGCATTTTAAACGACCTGAAATGACAATTAAAATGGTACCAATACGGTAATACCACTTTAAGCCTCTAACACTAGATGGCGAGTATCTATATCTGTAAATCTGCTAGTGACAAAGTAAACATAATTGCATATAATTGTCGTACAAAATTTTTTCATTAATGTTAAGTTTTAGTAAAAATGTCGATGGTGAATCGGAACTTGATGCGTGAATAAATCCAAGGTATTGAAAATACTATAACAATTGCATTATTGTATAAAGCATTATATAAAGCAGCTGTGAATCGTCAAGCAAAAGCCACGGAATGATAAAACAAAGTGCGAAAAATTGCTCGTAAAATCTTACTCGCAGCCCGATCGTTTTCAAAGACTACTGTTGAGACGCTACTCGAGCGTGCACAAGTACCACACAGAGTATCGTAGAAAAACAATAACATATATAGCTGCGACTGTAGCACGGATGGATAGACACGTCCGATCGTGAGCTGCTTTATACATATAGTTGTTATATATATATAACAACTCGAATCTCGACGAGGACGAGGATCGAAGCGGCCTAATGAAAATGACTCGATGGACCATTACTCAAGCGCAACGGTATATCGGTACATCTCGAGGCCTCGAATAGTTTTGTCCTTTTCTTTGTAGCTCGCGAGACTGCGCCGCTCGCGATCCGACTATTAATGCCTATTATAGGTATATACCGATCGGACGATCGACTTGTATAGAAAAAAAAAACAGGACGAGTAGCAAACGATTGTCAGCGAGGTGTTTCCGTCACTCCCACGGAATCGTTCATAGGTTGTAATTTATAAATGATATTAATGCAACAATCCACGGTCGTGCGTGCAAAAATTAATGTTGTATCCTAATCAATTAAAATTAATATAATGTAAACATATAAAGCATCACGAATAACATCTTCGCTAAAGTAATAAAATATTCAAATGTAATAAAGATGCCGTAATGTGCTGACTTTTCGACTGCAGGACGAAAGTCCAAAGAACTCCGAAGTGCACATGATATATATAGAACAATGCAAATCGAATAATACACCCGTCTTCGAATCGTTTCTATCTCTTTCTCTTTCTCTCTCTCTATGCTCTCCGTGACTACATTATAATATACACTACAAAAGAGAGCTGCTGCACACATATCGTCCAGTGGCTGTTTGCTTTGCCTTGCTCTGCGCGCGTGCATCTCGACGGTCGTGAATCGCGACCTATGGGCTACACATCTTCTCTCTTCTCTCTGTCTCGCTCTTTACTTGGCTCCCTTTCTACACACATATATACACATCCACACTACGACACAGACGTTCAGCAGATAGATATAAGCAAATGCTATATACGAAGGTCGTCGAACTAAAAGTCCTGCTGCTGTCCGATTTGCAATGTGAACTCTCTTGTCTCTGCCGCGTAAGCCACCACAAAGCCTCAACTATATATATGCATACATAGCACCTCTGAGCGCAATGCGCGCGCACAAACCATCCGTACTCGATTACGTTATCAACAATTTAAAAACTTGTGCTCGATATCTAATTCAACGACGAAACACTTCACGTTTACTCAGATGACACGACAAAATCATTATACAGCTCCAATCACTGCAATTAACTGAAATACATTTTACTTCTAATATCATAAATACAGTATCATTATGCATTGTATCAACCTGGATTTAGTGATACATTTCTTCGTAGAGTAAATATTCTTTCGCTGTATCACATGTAAGTGTAAGTTTGAGGGACTCTATATGCATCCTTATTCAATAGCGTATGGCTATTTTAGTAGTAGAGGGGGAAATTATTGCCAAGGAGCGGCTTTATCTCGCTAATGAATGTGAGTAGTGCGTTCACTAAAAGCTAAGCTCTTATACAAGTGTTTATAAATTGCTGATTTCTAGGTACAGTGTTGGCCATTAACCTTAAATATTTCATCTGTGCAATTTGTCAAAATTTACAAGAAAGTACAACTGTTATCAAGCGAGCGATGGAAAGCAGCGGCGATACAGTTTGGTATTATTTTTTTCTTGACATGATATTATTAGTAGCGATCGTTTCATCAAACATGCTTATTCTCTAGCGTAAAAGAAGAACCAGCTGAAGATATTTGGCCAAATGCAGACGATGATTGTAATTTCGATTCAGTGGACTCTTGTGGGGCCCATACCTTTTCAAAATTCCCATTTTATAAATCAGTAGTGAGTTTAATAATATTAATCATGTTCCAATATCCTATTATGAAAAACTATTAAACGATTTTAATTTTAGGCAAATCATATAATTGAGGCTATTGCATTGCCCGAAGAGTTGGATAAAAATATATGGATAGAATTAAAGGGCAAAAATTTTATACCCGAGCTGAAGTCTTTATCGACAACTACTAATTGCAAAACTGAGTATCAAACATATCTACTTACTGTGAAAATAGAAAACGAATATCAAACCATTGATGTAGATGAAAAAATATTCATAGATTTAGAGTGTAAAAATGTTAAACCTGAATCGACATTTTTATCCACAACTATCAGTAAAACAGAATATCAAAGTTTCCCACCCATTGTGAAAATAGAAAACCGATATCATCAAAAATACTTGAGTAAAATAAGGCTAATAGTTTTAATAAAAAAAGAATTCAATTACGAAAAGAATTGTCATTTTCAAGTAAACTCCAGATTGAAATTTGAAGAATCCAAGGAGGTAAAAATATTTGAAAAGAGTCATTTAGATAAAAAAGCATACAAAAGAGAAGAAAGTTTAAAAACACATATAATCAATACGACACATAAGAGCAATAAACTACATGAATGTAAAATTTGTCACAAATCATTTGGAGAAAAGGGTAATCTTAAAAGTCACGTGAAGACAATTCACGAGCTGAGCAAACCCTTTGAATGTGAGATTTGTCACAAATCATTTGGACAAAAAAAATATCCTGAAACGTCATGTGAATGGAGTACATGATCGTAGCAAACCCTTCGAGTGTGACATTTGTCGTAAATCATTTGGTCGAAAATGTCATCTCGAAACTCATCAAAATACAGTCCATGATCGTAGGAAACCCTTTGAATGTGAGGTTTGTCACAAATCATTTGGACAAAAACAATACCTCAAAACTCATATAAAGACAGTACACGATTGTAAGAAGCCCTTCGAGTGTGACATTTGTCACAAATCATTTGGACAAAAACAACACCTCAAAACTCATATAAAGACAATACACGATTGTAATAAGCCCTTGAAATGTGACATGTGTCACAAGTCATATGGACGAAAGGAAGCCCTTAAAGAGCACATAAATGCAGCACATGATCGCAGCAAACCCTTTGACTGTGACATTTGTCACAAATCATATAGATACCACCGGAATTTAAAAAGGCACATAAATGCAGTACATAATCGGATCAAACCCTTCGAGTGTGACATTTGTCACAAATCATTTGGAGAAAAGGGTAATCTTAAAAGTCACGTAAATACAATTCACGAACTGAGCAAACCCTTTGAATGTGAGATTTGTCACAAAACGTTTGGACAAAAAAGTAACGTCAAATCTCACGTAAATGTAGAA